GAATAATCATACGCTTGAATACAAACGGTTTTATAAACGTTTGCGAGGAATCGAACCCCAGTGACCATCGGAACTGAAGCGGTGTGCTTATAAACGTGACAGTACTTAGCACATTTTTAACATTTAAATATAAATAACAGTATCAATATATCGATTAATATATAACTCACTCATGCAAGAACACACATCCTCGTAACTTTATAACCGATCATTACGCGTCCATAATTTCTGAACCAAAGGCTTTAGTATACTTCCTCATATAGGGAGTTTGTCAGCAACTCCCTATAATTATACGATCTAAAGTTGTTTTACGATTCCTAGACGAAGGCTCTAAGGCTTTACGGCACCTTCCGAGAAATGGGAGCAGTTCAAACAATGTTTGCACCGATTGGCGACCAACAACCGGCGACCACCCGCCACGCATATTGTTATATTATCATACAAATTTGTAGTCGTCACTTGACGCCATTATTTCAATCCATGTCACAATATACACATCACAATACAATTAAATTGTCTCACCTTTTTATTACTCTACAATATGAGGTTTTGTTCATGACGTCTTTGTTATGTACTTCATGTTATGGTGATATTTGTTTTTATACCGTAAATGGTAAATGAGCATGCTCAAGTAATAGTGATTACCGTTGCTGACCACCTGCAGTACAAGAGAAAATACTTACTATTGCGTTTTTGTTAAAGGTTACAATGTCAGATCAATTGAGAAATACTTCCACTAGTTGGTTAACTTCAATGTTGATATAAATGGCAAAGTTTCTAGAAAACCGCATGCTGTAGAACTGCCATTCATTCAGACCTTTGCGATGGAATTTAAGTAATCCTACTAACATTATAAATATAGAAGTTTGTGACTGTCTGTAAGTTCGATATTTTTTATTGGAGCACGCTTAGTTATTATTTTTCATCCTTTGGTTTGTTTTGTAGTCTGAAAAACTTTTGTCCGTTCTGAAAATATTTTGTATATGTAATGATTACGTACTGAATGACATTATGTTCCATATAGTCCTGTAATACATTTTTTCCCATAGAAACCGTCACGGTTTTCATCTCAATTTGGTATTTTACTTTATCTGCGCCGATACGCGGAGGCTTCACACGCAAGTTTATGATGTAAGTACACAGTAGTAAATACTGTACGTACTATTACCCTGCATTATGAAAATTATAGTCGTTATAAACATTTCTATGTTAATATACACCGTTAGCGATCTAGATAGAAGGCTTGATTGCAATATATTGAATCTTTTAATTACTCATACTTCTATAAACTGCAATTTCTACTCAGCAAAACATAACATACTTTATGTACCTACTTTAAAGAATTTATATTACTCCACATGTGAAAATAAACTATTTATATACGTAAGGCGCCTTGCCTTTTACTACATTTAAATAACATACTTTTACGCTATGAACTGTAAATGTAAGTTATTTAAATGTATGTTGCATGTACATTCAAATAGTTAGATATATAGGGCTTATCATTACAATCTTTTAACAACAATACTCATTTATATTCAACCTCTGTTTTATTAACGGTGACATATTTTTGATAATATTTATTACGCCACCTTTTCGGTTATGGTTTATACATTTAGATTGACTTTTAGTTTGTATTAAATTTAGGCAAGGATATACATATTGAACTAATAGAGCAGAGGTCATAATATGCATACGTATTGATGTCCTATTGTTGTATTTATGTAAAAAAAAATCCTACATAAGTATAATATAAGAAATCACATAAATACAGAAGTCAAACCTATAAACATTTTTTTGTATCACTGAAGATAGACTTCTTTGGTTGCCACCGATTAAATGTAACTATAATAAGAACAAGGCTAACATCTTTACTAATCTATTCTTTAAAAAATACAAACGCAAGATCAATTTTTGCATTCGAGCATCGATATTTTTGAGGTCAGTTTTATTAGCATTACACGCGTATAAATACAACCGCTGCGCTGTGATATGTAGAGTCACAACCTTAGTATCTGGTACCCACTATTTTTATTCAGTTGAAAGACCAGTAACTTTCCACGCATTGCAATTTGGTGAACAATGTAGCAAGTCAAATGAATGGTCGCCCAATTCGTGAGCGACACTGTTGTATATTGGCCGTCATGAGCGGCGTGCTCGCGCGTGAGTCGCCTGCAAACAACCTACGTCTTATACGACCACAATCCATCTTTATAAGCGTTGAGCACTAATCCCAGTGCACCGAACGTTAACAATGTAAGGTAACCACAAAACCGCTTTTGTATATAGACATTCAAGAAAGACTAAACATTATTTAAAAGCTTTTTATTGCTTTGCGATTTTGTTCTTTTTTCCTGTCAAAATCATCTCAAGTCATGGTTGATGTATATCTTTCAGATGCATACATACCTACTTACATATTTTGTGATCGTTGAAACTTCGTATACATTTAATTTAGCTATCGAACTGATTTGTTTTGTCTGTTTGGTCAAAATAGGTCCGAAAATTGGTAACAAATTATATGCTCTAACAGTTGAAGTGAATATGTAAGTTCCATTTTTATTAGTCTGTTACTAATAAAAAAAAATACTCCGAATTAAAAAATATTCTGATAATGGAGTAACATAATCAGAATAAATTCTGACTTTTCAACGACACCTCTGAGACGAGACTAGCAGATTATTTCTCTAGGCCAATCTGCTATACCCACACCGTGGCTCATATAGAATGCCCTAGAGTAACAAATGACTACTAAACCAGTGGTTATTTGGACGTACCTCGGGGCTGGGTGCCACGCAGAATAGATGATAGGCCGGCTACCGCACACGGGCACGCACGGCGGACGTTCCTCGCGTCTCGCGAACCTCATTCATCAGCCGAGATTGATTGCAACTGTCAAACGTTAATGGCGGCGAGTGGTCGCCATATTGGAAACGTTGAATGCACCTAAGCCAATATTAATGCGCGTTATTGATGAGTCCCAGCTTAAGTTCACGGTTACTTATTAGATGTGTAATTTATTAAACATTCTTGAACGTGTTTAGAAACGGGGTAAATGAGCCAGTGATAAACCTCGTTAGCAGGTCTGTGCTGGTACATTCGCTGTCAAAATTTATAAACCGATCAGACCACCCAGCTTGAATGAGAAAATTAGGGCGAAAACCAATTTGCTACTTTTTTTTGTGGATGATAATGGAATGGTGCACCCGCCTGCGCTAACGGTTTACGCTGGCGGGGCACAAGTGGAGGATGATAAGATGAGCATGAGGTCAGGTCAGTTAGCCCATCGTGACAAATTCACCAGGAATTTAACACGAAGCCAATTTGCTACTTGCGGATAGTTAGAAAACGGGATAGGATTCAGAATGACAACTGTCACATAATAATAATATTAACCCTACATAATTCAAACTGCACTTTCTAGTTCTAATCGAAGTAGAGATTGTATCATAAGTACATATTAAACAACTAATAGAAATACTTTAATACATTTTTTAATAAATAGGTACATCATATACGTATTTTAGAAAACACCCAGACCACATACACACAAATATTCATACTCGTACTTATAAATACAAATTTCGAAATCCATGTATAGTTAAAAGCCCGAAGGCGACGTGAACATATTTCAATTTTAATCTGTCGTAAATAATAAACATACGTATACTCGTAGTATGTTACGTTATATTAACCAAAAAAAGCAATTTTTAATGGTACAAACTATATATTTTCTTCCAATAAATTATTGTTAATTACACTTGAATTTTGAGTAATTGAGTTGACGGATGAGTAATTAAGTAATACCATTGCTACTCATCCCCATTGACCTGCCTTTATCTCCTCTATCCATTTGGTTACAGTGCAGTACGTCATCTTCTAATGCTACTATCTACTAATAATGTACTCACTGACGTTACACCTGTACTTCTGAAAAATCCTCTTTTCTCTGTTTTCTTTCTTCTTCATGTTACACATGGTTTTACGTTGTGACTGTCCATAATAGACGTATTATTGAGCGGAATATTAAAGTGATGGTGGCAATAAATCTTTAATTGAAATCATATCGCCTATTCAATCTTCGTGAATGATCGAGTTGGTGAATAATAATACCACATCAGGCATTATATTTCCGATATCTTTGAAATGTATTAATAACTAAAATATTCCATATTTAAAATAGACATTTTCTGGGTTACCTTTTGTCCCCTACACTTCTCACAATCACAGTTGCAGTATTTACTTCGTTAATCTGTTTCTTCTTTCTCTCTATTATTACAATTTGACAATAAATGCCTCGCTTATACCCGATTGTTATCTTACAGAACCGTGGCAATGGCTAACAATATAACTACATAGGCATAATATAGTAACTGCATGTCAACACTGTCGACCATTAACCACAATGAAAGCCAACGTGTCGCGGCAGTCACAATCTCTACATTTTGACGCGAAGCTCACGTCAAGTGGACTTAAATTTTTATTACTTTATTATACGCCGCACACAGATTAAATATGCGATAATCATCGCAAAGTATTACGACTCGTGAGCGTGCGACATCCGTCGAATTACGTACCGTATTCGATTTCGCCAATCATCAGTGTAAGTAGATATCGTATAACATTTACGATATTTTACGCGTATCTCCTTAATTGCCAATAATTTACAGAAATGTCAATATAAAAATACTTACTTATTGTCGTGGCCCAATAATAGATTGCGTATTTTCATAATAAATATGAAGCAAAATGCGCAATTGCGCTTGCGCATATAAGTGTCTGATTTCAACGTCGGATGACGTTTTCGAAAGAAACATTTAATTGACAATTTAATGTCGAAGTTATGGTATCGTAATTGAGAACCAATTGATATATATTATATGATTAAAATAGAAAATATACGAGTTGTACCTCTGATATGATATTAAGTAGAGCACGCACTATTCAGAACCAGATTCGGCAGAATTGGGAACAGGAAATTAAATGAAACATTATAAACACAGGATCGACAACTTTATTAAGTACTAAAATATAAAATCGCTGTTCTACAGCACGATAGCCCGCGCCATACTTCGGGAAACGATTTTGAGACATAATTCATCATTTAAACCTCCTCTTTACTAAAAATCGATACGATTTTTCATCTAATATGTTAAAATTGAATGAAGAATTGTATATGTAAGATAAGAACATATAACACCATTATAATAGTAAAACTGTGACGCCGAGCTTCATCCGCATAAATAATAATATCTCAAGGTAACTCACACAGCGCTATCTAGACCAGAGCTTCTGTTATGGGTACTAGACAACTGATATAAATACATATTTTTATGTAAATCTACACTCAATATACATAGACAAACAATCATACTCATGAATACAAATGTTTTTACTGTGCGGGGAATCGAACCGGTGACCATCAAAAGTACAACGGTGTGCTAAACCGCTAGACCACCGAGGCGTTAATCAGAATAAAAAGTTACTTGATTTTTTATTTATAAATATGACAGGAATGGTAAATAAGCTGATAGGTTACCTAATGGTAAGTGGAAATCGTCGCTAATATATGTACATATAATTATATGTTAAAAATTAAAAACTTAAATTTTGTAAAGAGTAGTACATAAACAGTACCTTAACATGAAGTCATCGTATGACGATTGTGGTAGCCCTTATATGTTGTATCCGGACAACTAAGGTCTTATCCTTACCCTTTAATTTCACTGCCATACACTTCAAACAAAGACAACTTGCAAAGCAAGCTCCTTGACGACTTGACGACTTTAGACAATGTTTAAAGTCGGTAATATTTTATCTAACAAAGTATTCATAAGATACATTATATTAAATTTACGCGGGTAAAGATGCAAGTCACTACTATTATAATGTGCGGAATCAGTTTCAGTTTTATATAATAAGAATAAAATAATAACTGAAAAAAAGAACAGATGGAAACGCCAGTTTCATAGTACGGAGGACCTCTTGAACAAGTTCACAAAGTTCGTCAAACGAAAAAATATAAAGTTATATTTATACATCCCACATACCTATCTACATAATATGTTATACATAAATCGTAATATTTCTCTAAATTTATATACATATTATAACACTACTAACACTAGAACTGTAACCACATCCCGTAAAGTATACAGGGTTAGTGATAGAGGGTATATGGTATACCAAATGAAAGCCAGTAGTATCTTTACATAGTATAAAACAAAGTCGCCGCCGCTGTCTGTTCGTTTATGTCTTTTAAATTACGCAACTGATTTTAATCCAGTTTTTAGATAGATTAGATAGATAGACTGATTCATGAACTTTTATATCTATAAAAACAGGCGCGTTATATTATATAGAACAAGCTAAGAAATTTAAAGATTTTAAATGCATCCGTGCGAAGCCGGGACGGTTCGCTATTATTGTTATTCGTAAAGCTGAACTTTTTCCAACAAGAAATGTCGAAAAGTGAAAATAATTTTCCACATTTCTAAATACTTTATGTAAACAGAGTATAGAATAAGAATTTTAGAATAGGGTATGAAAAGGAATTAGGAAAAGGATTGGAAGAAGGAGGAAGGAGAATTGGCATCTAGAACCTCGACACATGTGTAACACAATAGTTGTAGTAATTCCCGACTCTCGATTCTCTTCGGAGCTGCACAACGATGTGTAGTAATACAGCATGTTCTACCACTTAAAAAATAAGTATCGTGAGTATTAGTACCTGGTTTTCGCCTTAATATACCTTTTAGGACTAACCCTGTAGATAAATAACAATGTGGCTATACATTTAAGTAGAAGAAATAAATATATCATACCAGTCACAGACTTAGGGACGAATATTTTACAATTAAGTGTGTTTTGTTACAACGATGTGCTACTTATTAACGTTTACATATCACAACTTACATTAAGTAATAGTCACAAAAAGAAATGCGATATAATATTGAATAATTAATTTCCACAAGTTCTACTCAGTACATTTTCGGGTTACGTATATGTCAATCTGTAAAAGAAATATTTCTATTGTTATAATGATAAAAATAGTTTGCAATATTTCCTCAAACTTATGTAAAATGTATATCAAGCTGAAATTCAGTGTTAGTGGAAAAAAAAACATTTTTAAGACCTTCAGATACACTGCGCGGTCACGTGATTAATTTATTATGAAAACTTCAAAATTTATTTGAATACCAATTTATATACCCGCTACTTCGTCCAAGTAGAACTTAACTTATTTTTATTAAAATAAAAGTAGTCCCTAATAACATTTCCTTTTATCTGCGAGTGAAAGTCCCGTCAAAATCGTTCCAGAAGTTTCAGAAATTATCGAGAATAAAACAGACAGACCGAATTACAAAAACAAAACAAATAAATCTTATTATACCACATGCAATTAATTAATAAGAAGCTGTTAATTGGAAATTACAAACAACACTTCAATTTTATATATTTGAATAGATTTCTACTTTGGTTTTAAGTAAAAGTTTAGGATCATGAGTACTCTGACTTTCAGCTTGGTACACCCCGTAAATAAAATCAGGAATGGTATCAACTTACTCTTAGCTAAGTTCAAAACCGGCTCCTGCCTGTATGGCATAGAGCAGCTTTTCGGAGAGTAAATCATCAGATTGTATCTCTGGCAACTTGAGAAGGTTCATACAAGTGGAAGATGATGGTAGTCGGTCTGATGCGCCCGCAGACTGAATGCAGAACGGTGGTTGCAGATCCTGTTCACAAGTTGTAATTTGATTCAATGTTACATTGGATTTTATAATAATAATAATAATAAAATTAATTTATTATCAGACAACATAGTCCATATTGTTAGTAACTTAATAACTAGAATGGGAACCGTCACATTTTGAACAACTGTGTGGGACTATTTTACGGATTACCTTCAGGACACTGTTAGAACTTGCCCGCGGTCTGACTATATGTTTGTTACTTTATTATATATAGCGGTTTGTTAGCCTAAATGTATTTACAATTTTCTTTGACTTAAATAAATGTAAAAATCTAATAGAGAAATCTGCTTTAAAGTTAAATTTATAACGTTATTTTTTAACTAATGCAGTTTCGTCTCATTGCTAGAAATATACCATGCCAGGATGACGACCAAGCGGTTTTCCTGGAAACTATCATGATACATTTCTGGTGAATTTGTCACGATGGGCTAACTGACCTGACCTGCTCATTCTATCATCCTTCTAGTGCTCCCCCAACATAAAACGTTACCACAAGCGAGTCCATCATTCCATTAAAAACTATTGCTGTTATTATTAAGATTCTTACTTTGCTGGTACACAATATAGACAGAAATATTATAATAAAAACACAAACCTTGAAACCTAATAGAGGCGGCCTGGAGCAACTGGTCACGAACTTTAACAACTGTCGCCTTTGATCATCGGTGAAGTTCTCCATCACGTTCCAGAAACACCGGACGGTGGGATGAGCCGCCGAGAATCCACCTAATGAAAACAAATTGGGATATGTGAATTGCTTTCATATTCTTTATAACACGTACATAATCCATATATTCTTGATACATTTAATAAACATTGGGTTCTCTGCCTGCCCTCGAAGGGCCCTAGGGTGAAGATAAATAGAAGAGACAAAAATATATCTACACATATACAAGAATATAAACCTTTTTATCCTAATAATAATAACCCAAGACAATACTCACAGCGTGAGTACTATCTAGTCTCAATATAAGCAGACCTTGAATATCAGACAACTGACATATACATTTTTTATTAAATACATACATAATATATATAGGACACACCCCAACTAGTACAAACAATCATAATTAAAAATACAAATGTTTGTACGGAGCGAGGAATCGAAACCGCGACCATCTAAACCGCTAGACCTTTAAGGCCACATTTATAGCATTTTGTAAACGGAAAGGTATCAATAGTGGATCACTACATATGCGAATAATAGAACATGCGAGCAGTGCGCTAACTCGCGCGAGTTTCTTCTAGTTCTTTTTCTTGACCTAAAAATAATTAAGGTAGAGATTTAGAGAGTGACCTGTATAGAGCGTGTGTGAACGCAGATCGTCCAGGTCTATGGGCACCTCTGCGCCGGAGATCAACAGCTGCAGCTCCCCGCACGAGAACATGCGCAGCCACTCCCCGTTCACCACGGAAGTCAGTCCACGCTTGAACGCTACACATTGCGCCCGGATTTGCCTGTAATATGCATTATTCTAAACCCGACACTCTAATGATGTTTACTTTAATTTATATATTATACATACAATTAATTATTTAGAATATTTTGGTATTTTCCAATATAAAGGTTCCTTGCCATGTGGTTAGAAATTCTTAAATTATATGAAGCTTAGGTTTATAGGTGTATACAGAGTCTTGGTACAGCCTTTCAGATTTTGAAAACCATATTCCAAAACACAGAGGAGAACACAGCCCATAGTTCAACTTAAAGATTAATGTAGTAAAAAATATAATGTATCAATAAAAATACCTGTTTAATTTATAATCAGCGATTAAGTGAATATATTCTATTCTATTTTCAGCTGTGACAGGAATATTGGCTCCACCCGGTTTCAATTCCTCTATCTGCAAATATGATTAAAGGTGTTGTTTCGAGAATGATTTATCTTTACTTCAATTCTAAAGTGAAAAGAACGAATTACAGTTTCTTAAAATTTATTCAATTTACAGAAAGTTTATTTTAACAAAAAAACACCTGAGATTATGCAAAGCAAAAGCGAAACATGCAAACACAGAAAGGATATTTGTCCAACATAAAGTATAATTAAGTAACAAATAAATTGAACAACAATGTAATATTTTATTGTTTTATAGGAATAAATAGTAATAAAAATGTAGTAAAGTATGTATGTATTTATTATTATTACACATATTTATATGAAGGTATTCACAGAATACCAGCGTCGTGGCACCCCATCACAACATATGCTGAGCGGAGACCTATTTGGTACAAAAGTAATCCAATATGTAATTTAAAAATGATTTTTGTTATTTTTATGTGTATTAAATAAACTTATATCTTTCTATTAAAAAAGCTCGCTGTATATTGTCTCAATGTTCCCGTTTAAAGCCTTATCACATTTAACAAGTTAGGCATGAAAGCAACAAAACTATTTTACAAAAGAAACCCTCACCCGCTGCTCGCCGAGCTCGTTGCTGACGACAGTGAAGTCGAGTCCCAGTTCAGCCACTTCGCGGCGTTGGTGCGACTTGAGCTGAAGCAAACCTCGGTATAGTGCGGGGTCCAGTGATGCCAGCGCGTGAACGTCAGGCTCTCGACGGGAGCACAGCTTGCTAAGGAAAAACTCCGCCAGGGGCAATTCCACTAGTAAATTTTCATACAGCGCCTGTCCATATAAAGAGCAATTTATAATAATAATAGTATCTCAAGATAATTCACACAGCGCCATCTACTCTCAAGCTAAGCAGAGCCTGTGTTATGCATACCCACACAACAGATAGATATATAGATTTTATTTCTAAATACATAATATACATAGAATACACTAGGACTGATAGAAACAATCATACTTATTAATACAAATGCTTGCACCGTGCGAGGAATCGAACCCGTGAAAATAAACCGGTGTACTAAACCGCCAGATCAAATAATATTTTTTAAACAAATTGTAACAACACCTTTTTATAAATAAATATCATTCCATTACACATTTTCAATAGCGTGACATGTAACGCTATTGAAAATGTACATGTAATTTGATAATAGAATATATATATATATATATATATATATATATATATATATATATATATATATATATATATATATATATATATAATTTAATAAACATATTGTCACTCCACTTATGCTCGCAAAAACAAAATTATTAAATGAAATATACCTTTCCCAGCATTCTTCCAACGAAATAATAATGCATCGTGAAGTCGTCATACAGTAAATGCACGCCAGGGTTTGGATACAGCATGTTATCGTTTGTTAGTCGAAACAGACCCCTGTTTGGGTCAAATGCAGACCTGAAGAAAGAGACCAATTTTAAATAAAAGTATATGTCTTAAGAATTGTAGGATTTTCTTACAAGTGGTGATTTTTATCTCCTCAGGATAGATTGTAGACTTTCCAAAGGAGATATTTCGTTTATAAATGACTAGTGGCGTTTCCTCTTTAGATTAACAAAATATGCAGATTTTTGTTAAGCAAAAATCCTTCTTACTTGAGAAGTTCTGAGAGAAATTCCCTGAAGAGACCACCGCCATCAACACCTGCCTCTTCTGCGCCAACTTGATTTATCAACTGCACACGAAGTCTTAGCTTCATATCAGGTTCTATAATAATTATATGTATTAGTTATGTTGATCATTACACACCCTAACAAGAAATATGAATGCTATCATTATAGTAAATATAAAAAAGAATATTGTGTAGATGAAGTAGCGAAACAGACAATCTATTGGTCATATTTAAACTACCGAACTATACTGTACAAAGAGTTTTTAACGATAACCCATTTCAATAATAAGAATATTAATATAATACAATAATATTTGGAATATCATCTATATATAAATGAGACATTTTCTACAACTACAACTAAAAGACTTCCAAGACAAGAACAAGAATAATACTTAGACAAACTAAGAATATTTCTATCAACAAAGGAATTCACTGATATTTCAATTAAATGAAGTTATAATTACCATTACTGGGGCTGAGCTTATCGAAGGCATCCTCATACAAATGTGTGCGACGTACGCTGATATTAATGGAAGGCCCTTCATTGAAATTGTTCAATTCGTACCAATGATCGTGCTTTTCTCTGAAAATAATGATTTTTACGATACAAAAATGCACGAATTTCATCATTTTTGACCCCTTTCTCCCGTTCATGGCGCAGTTAGTCACATTAGTGTTCCCTTTCCAAGTGTGACAAAGTAAGCCAAAACTAAAACAAATGGACTTCATGTCAAGTGAAATGAAGAAAGAAAGATAAAATACAATAAAACTTAACAATAAAATACAAAATAAAACAGTTTATTAATTTAATGTGAATACAAACCATCTTACTGAAATGAAAATTAAAGTAAAGCTATACATATATATTTAGAGTTAGCGCAGTAACAGACCCCTAATTAATATAATTTTTGTTCAGAATTAATGAAATTAATGTCTTTCATAGTTTTGTATACCAATTCTAAGTTTCAAACCTGTGTATAACATATAAATAGTTACCTAATTAAGAGTCCTTGAAATATTAAGACCCTCGTAGAAAATGGCACCACAAATGGTATCTCACGTAAAATTGTAACAGTCCTTAATTCCTTAATAGTTAAAGGTGGACCCTCCTCTGAAAATAGTAATGTAATGCGTTTATATACATATATTTCCCAATCTACATGCCGTAATCCTTAAGTCATAAAATTAAATGTTCAATCAAAAAGAACATATTTACTGTTTAGTGCTAAATAATAAACACCTTCCTAAACATGAAAAATATAACTCTAAGTTCGAAAGACAGGTTATGCAGGTTTTAGTTTTTAATTACCTGTACCTGTACACGTAAGCAATCTAAAAAGTCCTTAGAAAGAGATGAATACTTCGAAAGTCTATAGCATCGATCCAAAATTTGTGCATTAAAATAAGTATTTTCATATATTAAAACGACAACAATGATGCTATAAAATTATATAATATAATAGTATCGTAAACATCGTATAATACCTAATATAATATACTACAGGTTAATTAAGAAGAAATACCTTGCGAGAGTGCGAGTGCTGTGGAGGCCGGCGGGGGCGCGCGGCGCAGGTGACGTATGGAGGGGCGCGACAGCGGCGCCGCCGCCGCCAGCACCGCCGCCGCGCCCTCCGCGCCCCCCGCGCCCCCAGCGCCCCCCGCGCCCCCCGCGCCCCACACCTCCGCGCCGCAGAACTGAAGCCGCGCGTCGCGTGCGTACAGCGCCCGCAGCAGGTGCGTGCACACCTACGTGACAAAACTCCTTCTTCAGACGTACGTTCTCTCAAAGATTGTGTATGTAATGTATGTAGACAACGAGACGGACCGAGCGCGCCGCCAGCCCGCGTATTTCCTCGTTCTACGAGCGTGAGCGCTTTAGTGCCTTATAATAATTGATTTATACTCATATAGCAATATGAAGATCATCCGATATATATAGCAAAGACATAGTTAGACAGTTATTGATTATTTATAAATCTTAAACGTGTATATAGAAATAAAATTTGTGGAATAAAAAACAATAAAAGAAAGTGAATTGACTCGAAACACGATATCGTGCGCGATAGAGTGATTACAAAAAAAATAGTAATTTGCGCGCAAAATCAAACACGTTTGCGCGCGCTGGCTTTGTATGTTTCATGAGTTGTGTTTTATAATATTTTTATAATGTTCACTTAGATATGTACTTATAACAGCTAGGACCATCCATTTACGTCGACAGTCAACTGGTAATAGCGGTTAGATAAAAGGAAGTAGGAACCTTGAAGAGATGTGACCAGGCTGGAGTATGGGGGGCGGGAGGCGGTCGGGAGGCGAGCCGGGAGTCGGGGCAAGCGAGCTCCACCAGCCCCAGGCACACATGGCGCAGCGTGCGGCACAGCGTGCCCAGCTCCGAGAACGAGAACGCGTGCACGCGCCCGCCTCCGCCTCCGCCTCCGCCTCCACTCCCGCTCCCGCTCGTGCCCGCGTCCTCTGCGCTCTCTACGCCGCCCGATGACGTCGACGGCGTCGTCACTAGATCGAATTCGCATTAATAGACTGTATTTTAGAAATCTTAGAAAGGAAACAACCAACACTAGAGAAAGATTGATTTTTTTCTACAAAACAGCTGTACCAAATTTTGTAAAGCTGGCGGTGACGATTCTGTTCGTATTAATCTTTAAATAAATTGTATTAAAAAAATATAAAAAAAATACATGTACAATGTATTCAATAAAATTCACGACCCAACATTACTTTCACTTAACATCATACATACCTAAAATCATCAATCTGTCGACCACACAATAAACAAATTTGCAAAACCAACAACTAGTATGCTTAACAGTTACACAACAACGTATACATACACACACAACAACGTCTATACATACACATTTTGTCGTCGTCGGGGTCCCTGCAGAACTCGGTATCGTGCAACGTCCCGATGAGCAGCGAGAAGAGCGCACAGAAGACAGCGAGCGGCGCGAGTAGGCGGTGCACGCCGGCGGAGGGGGGCCCGGGGGGCGCGGCGGAGGTGGCGGCGGAGGGGGCGGCGGGGGCGGCGGGCGGCGGGGAGGGCGCGGCGGGGGGCTGCGGGCCCAGCGCCGCCAGTCCGTGCGCCAGCGCCGCCAGCAGCGGGGTGGCCGGGCCCCCGTACCACGACTCGTGGCTCAGCCCGCTCAGCCAGCGCCATAGCTCGCGCAGGAACGTCGGCTTGAACGCCAGCGTGTACAGTACCCTGAAACATTTTTTAATTACGGTAGGGAAATAAATATTAATCTTAATAATATCATAAACGCGAAAGCTTATACGTATGGATGTTTGTTACTCTTTCACGTAAAAACTACTGAACGCATTTTGATAAAATTTTACAGTAATATAGCTTATGCATTAAATAACACATAGGCTATATTTTTCTATCGAAATTTATATTTTAATATAAAAATATCTAAATCGCGGACACGGCTAGTACAAAATATTTGACGTTCATAAGCGGCTAAAATGTAGGACACATGTATAAATTATTTTTGATTTGATTTGATATTACTACTTTCGTTCCGTGAACTAATCGACGTTAGCAGCGTGTACAGTATAATAAAACATTTTTTTTTAGTAATCTCAGCCCGTGACCTCACCGACACGATTAATAGTATTAACACAAGACAACACATCCAGTCCCAAGCTAATCTGAACTTGTATTATGAGTACTACACAACTAAAATAATTATATAAATACATTTTTTTTTAAATACATACATAATATATGTTTGTTCTGTAAGGCACACCGCCTTACAGAACACCGCCTTAAACCGCTAGACCACCGAGGACGCGATTGTGATAAACGTCTCTCTTTCTCCATCCCAAATCCTACATATGTATATGCGAAGAATCACATCTTTACTACTGTTATAAAGCTGAAGAGTTCATCTGTATGTTTGGTTGAACGCACTAATCTCTAATATGTAAACTGATTTTAAATCAGTGCAACACTCAATTGACAGCCATTGCTTTTAAAACTTTCAAACAAAATAAACTTTACCTAATTTAACATTTATACATAGAACGAAGAATATAGTCCCATACCTGTATTTATGTAACGCCATCCTGTGACTTAACAACAGATTGTGACAAATCTGTGACATGCTGTCTAGGAATTCGTCACTCAGATCACTGTCCGTTATCTGGGCACATGTGACCATCACACATCGGTCTGGTTCATTTAACAGCTCTATACAGCGGGCGAGCAACACTTGTTCTCTCACTGAGGTTGGATTTGGTTCCGTATCACTATCGCTGTCATCGTCTTTCTCTGTTGCAGCATCCTGACTGTACAATGAGTCTTCATACTCGTAAGTTATTTGTTTATTACACACATTTACTGTTAACTTGGCTATTACTTTAAGATAATCTAATATAATAGAATTACTTGGCAGTCTTGTGTTGTTTAATTTACGTATATCATTTACTGGAACAAACAAAATTTTATATGTAAATGATTGACTGTTGATTCAATTTAGGATATCCAACACGGCTAAAGTTTTAAGACCCATTTTCCTCATTTAGTCTCGAATCGAATCGAATAATACAGAACAGCGAGTTATAACGGACAAGCTGCAAACCCTTTTTAGAGCACCCTCACGTCTTCATGAAATATTTTCGTGGTCTTTATTTTAATAAGCAGGCAAATAGGAAATGACCCCTAACTGACTCATAGAAATAGTTTTACTACTTACTACCAATGTATATTTCAAAGTAAAAAATAGGGCACTCTTCCTATAAGCGCTCATGATGTTCGACATAATAACATTATGTATGTACAACAGCAATACATACCTAAGTCAGGAGGCTCCAACGACAGCACAGAATGCAACAGCCACGAATCATTCACAACTGTCCGATTTTGGAACTTGCTGTCGTCCCTTAGACATTGTATGAGCGATAGAAATGGAAATTTCTTGTTCAGATCATTTGCCAGTGATGGTATTATATACATTTCTACAGGCTCCGGGTAAGGATTACATAAGAATGCTGAAGCAAACTCTGACATTACAACGTCACTGAAAACAAAACATGAATAATTATTATTCATTATGATAGTATAATTATAAAACTACATAATTTACCTACTTAAAAAAACAGAATCTACACAAAAGGCGTAAAAATTGTTTAATAAACTTTAGATACTCCATCAAAACAGCTTTGGAAGAATCACTGTTAAATTTTTTAATTAGTCTCTTCACCAATCATTATATATAAAAATCACGTGTCACGTTGTTTGTTCGCGATGGCCTCCTAAACTACTGAACCGACTGCAAATTTGAGTTGCACATTGTCTGCAATTTGATCTAACATGAAAGATAGGATAGCCTATATCTTATATTATAGTCGCAATATTATTCTATTCAAGAACCTTAGGTACAGCAACGTGTGGCCGAGTCTGCTAGTTTACTATAAAACGAAGTATTTATTAATTAGTTTTATTAATAAAATCTTTATTTTATATTCTACTGTAACAATGCAACATTATGTATCACATTCACATCTAATGGGAGGCAGAAATAACTTACTATCAAGTGTGCCACAAGCTCGTTTAGGTATAGCCCCTATACAAATTATAACCATTATACACCAAACCAAAATAAAAAAATTATAAACCAAAATATAAACATTGTGTAGTAGTTACTAATTACAATAATAACTCACCTGTATTCGGGCATATTAATACGCATGGTCAAGTTGAGAGGCCTTTGTATCAGATCTAATAGAGCTCCACTTAAGGGAGTAGGTGGATTTGGAGATGGTCCGTAAAGTGGTGGTGTTTTCTGGCAAATTAGCTGATGCAAATCCCTAAAGTAGCCTGAAAATTAATATTAAATAATATAAAGATTTCATTTTAAAAAATATACTGTAATTTAATTGAGGTGATAGTGACATTAGGACAAGTAAGAGATTCCCCACAGGGGTGACACCACATTTTGAATTGCACTCTTTAAAATATTGTTTCTTCTCTGGGCGCAGTAAGTAGTAGTATTATATTATTTTAAATATTTAACGTATCCGATACTCTAAAATTAACAACTGTTTCCATTTTTAATTTGTATGTTCTAATCAAGATAATATTAATTAGTAACTTTTTTACATGTCTAATTTTGTTAAATGTTATATAAACAAAAAATACTATCAAGTTACCTCTTCTGATAAGATATAAAAATGTATTTCCGACAAAACTTAGTGATTCATCACAGTTCATTGAAGATTCTGCATAGCTCACTGAAGTAAACACTTCAAACATCCTAAGAGGCACCGCAAGAGCTACCTGTGTGTGAAAAAGTGATTTAGAAAGATAGTATTTTTTTCTTAGAACAATTTACTCACCATCATCTAGTCCCAATCTTTTTTTCGTAAATAAATATATTTTTTCAATATTTTTTTTTAAAACAAATACAAACTTATATACATTGGAAACACCCAGACTAATTCAAACAATCATACTCATGAATACAAATGTTTGTACTGTGTGAGGAATTGAATCCGCAGCCTTTGAATAAGAAGGTGATGTGCTAAAACCCTCAATCATCGAAGCCATCAAGTGATAATTAGAATACAATTTAATAAATATCATAGTTTAAACTATGTAATTGAGGGTAGTCACATAATTGTTTGCAGCTGATAATTAAACTCAATCCAATTAAGTTTCTAACAAGTCTTAGAAATCATACCTAGATCCAAGTGATAATTAGAAATATATATTGCACTTGTAACACCATAAAATAAAAAGTATATAATAATAATATAATTATTCAGTACAAAAAATGACTTATTACCTCTACATTGGTGTTCAACAGACGTAAATGCAAGGCAAGTAGCCTTCTAACTTGTATACACGAGCTATCACTTTGCAATATCTTTTTCCATTGCTTTAATAATAATTGTGATATAGAAATCTGCAAAGTACATACAGTAATACTTAATTAAAAGTAAGAAGATAACATACAATAATAGAAATAATAGTCTGTAACTTATATTTTCTATTTTCCAGATATCTCATTTTAAGTTCTAAGTCCTTGAGACAAAAAAGAAATACAATCAGTATGATAATTATGGACTGAATAAACTGAAAAAAAACAATATTTGGAAATGTACTCTAATGTGAAGGAATTAAAGTCTAATTGAGTATTTTCAGTACTGTACTAGGTGTCCAATATGATGCTCAAATTATGAAACAAAAGATTAATGTAGTGGAAGAATCTATGGGGAGGAGGGGGGTTAATTTAGTAACAAATACATACTTAGTATTGAAATATTGAATAATACAAAGAGTCACCAGTTCTATTCAATACCAAGACTATAAGAAAAGTTTGCTAAATACAGCCAATATAAAATGTACCAACATTTCTATCGCACTATTGTACATTCAATGTTAGTAGCAGTGGTCAACAGACATAACAATTAGTTAGAAACAAAATTTTATATGCTTCCTGGTCAATGTTGTAATTTAAAAATTTCTTATCTTGTGGTCTTCCACAGATTATTAAGACCAGTCCAAATGAGTGACCCACTCCAAAATCTTTATATTGTATTGACAACACAATAAAACTATTTATCCATGTTTATTGTTTCTTCTATCTTTTATGCAAATAAGTTATGTAAATGAAAGTTATAACTTTATCATTATCATTAAAAATTTATTAAAATTAATGAAAACCTCTTACCAATCTCTGACTGTCCTGTTTATCATCATAGAAAAATAACACTTTAGCAATAAGGGATGCAATAAGTGTTTGATCATCAGGATTTGCTTTCAAAAACGTGCTATCAAATTCTTCTCTTTGATTTTGCTTACACTGTTTTCGTATTAGAAAACTCCTCACATATGCCTGAATTTTAATTGTGCTAATCAGACGTTTTCTATGTTCCTGTGAAAATAAATATTAGGTAGCCGGTACAAAAAGCTAATTGCATATTTAGCACATTAAATTTTTGATTTGACTATAATCATTAAAACAAACACAAATCAATCAGAATGTATATTGACAACTATCCATGACTTGGATCTTTAAAAAATTTTAAAATATTATCATCCAACCAAGATAAGCTGCATATTAATTAAATCTGTTTTTGTTTTGTATTCTTGAAAAATGAAGAGAAACTATATGATTACACAATTATAATTTTAGTGTCTAATTCTATAATTTAGATTTGGAACTCAGTTTGTTTGCTATTCTTATATGAAAGTAAAAAAACAGGACCTAAATTAACAATTAAGTGTAAATAACACATATGTTCAGTATGTTTATAGAATTGAACTTATTATATGAAGGAACATTCTGTACTGTGTTGAGAAATGTATTTATAAAAAATATTAAGAATAACCTCTCGTTTCTGTCTTTGTTGTTGTGACTGTAGAATTAATGCATTTCTGTCAGTTTTACGCTGTGCACTTGCGCCTGCTAAGTTTTGCTGTGGTTTTCGCCTGAAGTCACCCTCGAAGGAATACATATCATACAAATTCAATAATTCTCAATTCACAAAATTATTAAAAATATGTAAACATTAATCAGCTGAAAGTTTATCTCAGCAAGTACACTCATCTCCAATGGGAAATTTTAATGTCAATGTTATTGGTACTGCACTAACACGCAAAAGAAAATTTCAGCAATGTCATTATAAATTAATTTGAGAAAATTGTCTTCAATGCAAAATTGATAAATAAAACTTGAAAGAACAAGGAAAGATTTCTTCAGTTCATTTGATTATAAAATACTATATAATCTATATGCACGGGTAAAATTGTGGAATTGAATCTGTGGGTCCGACAGGCAGAATGATTTGTTTTTTTCCAATAATGTTGCCAAGTTAATATTAGTTTTTCGGCTATACTTACTTAAAAAATAGACCTTAAAATAAGCAATAGAAATAAAATATTAATTCTATTTCCCTTAAATTAGGTAACATTGGTTATTTTATTGGAATAGTATTAGCGATAATATATTAATAAGTTTCTATGCATAACATACATCATTAATTAGTTGTTAATAAATAAAAATGAATGTGGATAAAGGTTAAATATTATCTTCGGGTCTTATTTCTTATTTGGTAATAGAATTTTAGATTGCTACAATGAAATAACAAATTAAATGTAGGTATATTGAACATGTAATTTCCTTTTTATTTTGTTGCGTAATTATTGCCATACAAGAAAACAACATGCAAATATTTGATTTCATTAATTAGCATCTCTATAACACTCTATACAATTTATGGTTACCTGTCATGTGCTGTCATATTGACTGTCTAATTTCTAATCTATGTTTCTACATATCTGTTCAAATATTTGTTTTAACTTCTGCGTAAGAAATACAATAACAAAATAATAAATAATATATCGTACTTGGCAATATTATTACATATATTACTATGGCTGAAATACTCGTTGATGGAGAGAATACAGATAGTACGGGTAGAGTGAGTATACATTTTAATATTAGTTGAATATGTCTGTACATACAAGGAAATTGTTTCTTTTATATACCACAGCAACACAACAAACCTATCACCCTGTTATGAACTGGTGAACTTGTACAATTATCTGCCTTTCAGCATCAAGTAATAGTGCATCATCACATTGCACATCTTACCTCTAATATATGCACCTTACCGAAAGCTAAGAGCGACCGATGCGAATAAGGTTAAATGTTCTCTGAATTCTTTCTAAATTCTGGAATAAAACAGTCTATATTATACAGAGTTGGACTGTTTAGGATTGGCTGATTCATCACAAACATAAGTCCTATAATGCTCTACTCCAAATGATCCCTATATGATTTTTAAATAGTAAAGGAGTATCATGTATTGACATTTGAGACTGAACCTCTAGATTGATATTGATTGATAAACATTCAATATAGATAATTCATTTTTAATAGATAATTTAGAGAAAACTTAAGCAAGTTAATTAAAAAAAGTATGTTTTAAGTGCACTAAAATGAATTTATTTTCAGCCTGTATACTTCGTACACTTGTATTCTGCTATAGATTGCTGTTATTTACAGGAAACATCCAACTATTTGTGATCTACATTCTGTTAACTATTATTTATTTATATTTTTCAGGTTTGTAGACCAACATTGGCACAGGTAAAAGCTGTAGTAGAGTTCATGCAAAAACACCCAGATTTAGCTCACAGAAAACTGAGGTATGGTGTTAGTCACCAGAAATATAAGAAACTCTGGATTGAATTATCTAATATTGCTAATTCTATAGATGGAATTATTAAATCCACTAAAGGTTGGGTTAAGGTGTGTACATACTTAGTAAACATAATACTAGTCTAGATTATTCCAAATTTGAAATTTAAGCCTTTATGTTTTATGTGATTATTTGTGTATTTTCAGTTCTGGTCAGATAAAAAGAGAAGTGTTGTTATTAAACATAAACAAATTGAAGATGGCAAGTTAATGGGATCACTGTCACCTCTAGAACAGAAAATTTTAGATTTATGCGACAACAAAACTCCAGGAAGTATGTTATATTATACTAATTAATTTTAGTAGCCTTTATTGTAGCTTTATTAGAATTACTTATAATTTTGCTTTTTTAAATAGACAAAATTGGTTCGATTGTCTACATAGAATGAATTTAATTAAGTATGGGTGCTCTACTTGATTTTGGACATACTTATGAAAATCTGAATATTATATTGATTACATACTTACAGGAAGAAAAAAAGCTGTGAAGCAAGAGCCATGTAATGGTGATGACGATGAAAATAATTCCTCCTTAGATGACAAATTTGGAAAAGATGATGATAATGATTTCGATAGTCAAATGTTTAACAATGAAGCAGAGGAACGGCAGTTGAATACTATGGAGAAATTGGTATAATTATAGATTTATGACTATTAATGCTTAATGCAGTTTATTACCTAGGCTTGTCAGCAAAATCTTTTCCTGCTGTATTATAGCATTTTTAGTTCTTTGATGGGTCATAGAACTGGGGTACCTTTGGTTTTCCTCAACTTTTAAAATTTCATTCGTATAGACAATATCATTTAAAAAAAAGTAAGTTTAGAAGAAGTATTCGAGATTACAAAACAAAAAATATATTTTATAATAGTACATAACTGTAGAAATAGGAGTGAAAATCATTGTACAGTGATATTTACATTTAATTGACACATAATTGAGATGATGTAAACTATAATGTAGTTTTAATTAATGTCTAAAATTTTGAAATTTATTAGGACTTAATATGGAATTTTGAGTTTTTGATTTTTTTAATAACTATTATGACAGTCTGTTTTTGACTTTGACTTGCCTGATTTTGACTTGATATTGATTTCTGGATCATCTTGTATATGCTCTTGGCTAAATCTGCATTATGATGGAAAAAATGTCTATTGATTTTATTCTATTGTCCTTCTATAAGCTAATTTACCTACTTAATCATTCATTAGAATGGTCATTTTTTAAAAAGCATGCTTATTACCCTAAAATAACTAGTATCATTATTACCAGTTGACGGTAAAACCATTAGCTTTTATATTGAACATTTGAATTTAAAAAAAATATCTTAAATTTCCTTCTAGGTTGACGTAATGGGACAACAGGCAACAGCCATGTCTCAAATGGCACAAGCAGCAATGGATAACTCAAAGGCTCTAGAAAGATTAGCGGAAGCATCCCATATTCAGGTGTGTATAATTACATACAATTGAATGTATGAATATTTCATTGTGGTAACAGATTAAGAAGTTATGTCTTACCACTTCGTTCCATCCCTAAGATGTCATAATATGACTAGGGGAACAATGTACAATAAATTAGAAATAATCAAAATAGATCGCAATGGCCTATTTATAAAACATGTGTTTTACACATGTTTGTACACAAAAAAATTGAAAATAAATTTAACAATTTTACCAAAAAAAATATCCAACTGGCTAATAGTACGGCCAGTACGATGATAACTGACCATTGACAATAAAATTCTTTTAACAGGCGCTGGCAGTAGATAGATTGGCGACTACGTTTGAGACAATCACGTCTTCAGTACATGATGTACGGAATGCTTTATTGGGCATTGACTATACAATGAAAAGATGTTACTCCACAACTGCGACGCAACCACGCCAAAACACCAATATATTTAGCTAAAAGACTGCAATTTAATTACTATGTATATTAGAAAGTTAAGTATTTATTATCAGAATCAAATGTTAGAATTGCATTTACTAAGTTATTATTCCATTTGTATTTATACTTTTAATCAAATTATAATTTTAGCAGCATTTTTCTCCTTAAAAAATGTAAATAAGGTTTTAAATGCTTATTATTTTGTGTTTATTGAAACCCCTCATACTTAAATGCAGAAATACAATATTTTATGTATGTATATATATAATGTGTTACAATGAATATTGTTAATTGACAATAGTTAACATTACAGTTATGTTACTGTAACAAAATAATATATTTTGTGTGTATGTGTCCGTACAAATAAATAGTCTATAATCCGTCCTGTCTTAACTCGGATGTGCATGGCTAAGAATTTGTCATATTTGTGGAGAAATAACGTAATATTATAATATGCTCGATCACATGACCATAAAGCAAACTACTTTTTCCAAAAAAATGTTATGCACCTTTAGACTATAATGACCATCGGCGCAGAATGCCTATTCTGAAGATGACTTGTTATTATTTGTTGCAATCAATGTAATAAGTATGCACTACGCACACCTGTGCAGTATTATACCTATTATATTTAAATTTTGATTTGTAATATATATTCTTATTAATTACTAATGACTAAAAATAGCAAACTTTCTCAATTAAGTCAAGTTTATATAACTAATAATTTGAATAAATGAATATGCTTCTCTAAATATTCTATTCTGACTTATTAATTTTAAGTATTTATATAATTTTGCCTGATATATTCAGTTCAAATCTAAGGGAATGGCATTTGTTCGGTATATTCCATATGTGTAATATACAAATGTAATTATTTGTCCTACTTATGGTTTTATATACTCTTTACAACCTTATACGTTTCGTTTTTTTGTATCCTTTGTATGTGTGAAAATAAAATGTTTATTTACATTCACTCAGTACCCTACACAGAACACTAGCTCGTAATGTTATAGGTTAATTAAGCCAAATAATAAACATTACTCCGATTTTGTTATTAGTCACAAGAAAGCTTACAATAATACCGCTATTAGTACGATAGTATTACAAACTGGAAGGAATGTTCATGAAATTATGAATTAAAATGAAAAGTATAATTTGTATATGAAATAGTTATTTAATTTATAAATACATTTTATCACAATAATATAAATGTTAATTATTTATAAAGTCAGACTCATACAGAATTTAATATAAATTCTAATAAACATATAATTTGGGTAACTACATTATGTTTGTACATTATAATATAACACAACCACATGGCAATTATTGCATAATAATAAATGTTACTATGGCATGTCCATGGCATTTCGATTATTATTAAAATTAAATATGAATGTTACATAATAATTTTCGAGTAAATATTTTATGAAGACAACTGTCGGGATATCACCATATACAAAATCCCCTTACTGATCGTATATCATCGGTCAGCTAAAATAATAACAATATAGTTTTTAATATAATACTCTAAAACTATCATATAATGGAATGTACAAGATTCTATATAACAAGTCAGAAAAAAGATAATGATCCATTTAGGTTAAACATACATTTTGGCAATGAAAGGAACATATAATAAAAATAATAATTAGTAATACACCAAAAGCTTATTATTTACAGACAGCGACAACTTAAATTTATTTAATGAGAAATGTAATTTACAATGAAAATATATAAATGTTCATTATTTCTACTCAGATCATTTACTCCTATCGAATATGCTTTAATTGTTTGTAACTTACCTATTATATTAAAAACAAATTTTCGTATAAAAATACACTTTGTACAAAAAACATCATATAAATCTAAATAGCAGGCACATCAAGGCATGTCATTTACTATATCACACTGTCATAATTAAAACTAAGAGTTGATGTTTGCTATGTACTAGCTGCCTATATGAATATAGTATTAAAATGTCGTTAATATAGTGAAACATAATTGATTAAAAATACAAAAAATATTTACATAATTTAAAACAGAAATGTAGAAATATTTATTTATAATAAATTCATTTATTATATTTATTTACTGTACACAAATGTATAAAATTCATATCATCCCGTCTCAGCCTAATAACGAATATAATTTATTTTATTTATCCTGGGTACCGAGATATATTGATAAATATAAAGCTTTCCATGAAATAACCATTCTTAATACTGAGTCTACATGCATTGAGACGAGACCTAGAGTCTTCATGTTTACAAAAATTTTAATGTATCAGCAGTATTTATAAAAATATCGCATATAAATGACTACATTCATATTCAAGAGCTAATACTAATATATATTAGACTATTACATCTTCGTTGTCAAGAACCAACTGGCTCATATTTACATAATCTGGGTGTTGCGAGAAGACATCTACTAATTTGCTGAAGGTTGGTCGTTGATCTGGATTGTAAGCCCAGCAGTCGAGCATCACATTGTAGATCTCGTCCGGGCAGTTTTCTGGTCGCTCCAGTCGTTTACCACTCTCCACTAATTGTATTGCCTAAAAATGGGATTAAATGGATAAAAATCATAGGATTTTAATTTTTGCACATTTTATATGGGACAAACATTCCATTAAACCATATAGAAAGCCATAATATTAGACAATGTCTGTCAGTGTTAATTACGCTCTTGCATGTGTAAATGATTTCATTGATTTAGATCAAATTTGACCGAGATATATACTGAAGCGCTATGAATTCTAGGATTTATGGATAAGGATTCCGTTACAGTAGAAGACGTCTTACTCAAACTAATATCACAAAGTAGATACAGATAGATGATTGTCATTAATAGGCACTACTAGCTCCGTTACTGGCAATATATCCTACAAATCAAAAGATCCAAAGTTACAAAGTTGATCCTTATGCGGTTCTCTTTAGAAACTATTGTGGTGAATCCACAATGATCTAATTGACCTGAACTCATTCTCATCCTCCACTGGTGACCCTCCAATGTATACCGTTAGTTTAGGCAGAAGAACCATTCCATCATTACCAATAAAAAAGTTTTAAACATGTTCTAATCACTCATTTGCAAATAATTTAGATATGCGACTTATTGATCTTATAATATTACCTCTGTTCCCTTCATCTCGCCATACGGTTGCTTCCCATAAGAGAACATTTCCCAAAGCGTGACGCCATAGCTCCACACGTCGCTGGCATGGCTAAAAGTCCCGTAGTTGTAGGACTCAGGAGCATACCACTTGATTGGCCACTTGCCGCCGCGGCTCGCCTTGTAATATGAGCTGTCAGTCAACAGAGCGCGGGACAGGCCGAAATCACTTATCTTTGCTTGTTTTCTGTAAACATTAATATTCATTATTCATTCGATTCATACTTAAAATGTTTAAGATGTAAATTATGTGACACATTAAGGAGTCAGGGGAAGAATCATCATTTTGTGCTGTCACATTTCAAATGGGAATATTACTAATTTTAAAACTGTCGTTTTATTTTGTTCACTTCCCTTTGGACACTCACAAATATGACTAGCTGTGACAAGGACGAAGGGTGCGTCAAAAATATTAAAATTCGTGCGTCGTTATTTATGGATGCCCCTTAGAGTGCTTACCAAGGTATACCCATGATAATTGCTCTCGCAAAACCAACGCAATATAATATCAGATACTTTGTTGATGTGTATTATGATTTAAAAAATAAAGGACGAATTCATAATTAAATTGTACAAGCATTTTTGTTCAGTTTGGGATCTGTTTGTGCTGTATAGTGTAATTAGTGCTACATATTTATTGACATATTAGTGTACCTGCTAGCGAGTAATATATTCCTGGTTGCAAGGTCTCTGTGTACGAATCGTCGTCGCTCCAAGTACCGCATCCCAGTTGCCACCTGGCAAGCCCACAGGCGCAACTCGCAGCCCGGGCTCACCTTGTCAGGGTAACGGAGTAGGTACTCCAATAGAGAGCCCAGAGGTACCAGTTCTTGAATCATAGCTAATGGTGGACCCTGGTAAAAGATATATATTTAAAGTAATAAAAAAAATAACACAGAAATGCATAATTATATTTTTATAAACTTTTTGTTTTATTTCAAATAAATAAGAAGCGTTTGATATCATAGTTGTAGAAAAGAAAACGATCCGTCTAGGTTTCGCACGAATACTAGAGTATAAACATGCGACAACCGACGTAGAGCGCGGGCGGGGTGACTGTATCTTCCACGTCGCGGTGGCACGAGACTTTAATACATATATTTTTTAAATGAAACATCTATATAGACAGATATTGTATGTATTAGGATTTTTCGGTCACGAAAAAGCGTTATAGTCGCGTGGAGGGCAGCTGGAAAGCAGAGAGTCTATTATCGCGTTGTGAGAAAAATAATTTCACTTCCACTATAACAACACATATTCCTTTTTGTTTTTAATTTACGATAACTCTTAAATTTAAAGGTAAAGGCTACTATAATTTGTATGAAATTCGTGTAATGCCAGCATGTTTGCAAAGGGCAATATCATAAAAAAGTGATTGAGTACTGACCAGCGAGATGCCGATAAGTCTGACGATGCACGGATGCCGCAGGGCCATCATGAGCTTGGCCTCTGCCAGGAACTCGTTCTTGTTGGTGTCGGTGTGCTGCACGTGCAGCGTTTTGACGGCGACCTGGCGCTGGTCACCAGGCGGCCCGTACGTGCCGCTCAGCACGGACCCGAACTCGCCCTCGCCCAGCGCCGAGCCCAGCGTCAGCTCCGTCATTGGAATAAAGTCTACCAAAGAAATAAACCACTAAGAACTCTAAGGACAAAATGATGATTCTAAAAATAATATTTTATATGCAAAATGGATGACAATCATAGTTACCATCCAATATTTACATTTTACATTGTTCTTCTTTTCTATTCATCATCCCTGTTCGCACTCTCGTTATTTACTCCCTTACTTGACCTATCATCTTTCACACGATCCATCTATGTTTTGTTTCGGCCTTCCCCTGTCCTTATGCACATTCATATGCAATATATGAATTCTTATCATTAATATTATAATGAAGATTAATAAGGTGACGTTAAATAGTTTTTCTTGCATATCAAATAGAATTTCAGGACTACTATCAGTAAGTACATTTCCATCTGTATAATTACCACATTAATTGAAATAAATCATTTCATTCATCATCAATTACATTATATTTAAAGATACATTATATATAAATTGCTAATTTAATTATATATGTCCTACCTTGTAATGTGGATAATTGTCCATCAGAGTTAATTGATATTTCGTTGTAATTCTCTGGTACCACAACATTGCTCACAGGAACTTTGTATGTGTCATTGTCATCCATTTCATCATTATTATTTAAACTATCATTTGCGAAGTCCGAAGAGAAAGACAGATTTCGTGTGAGTAGGTCGAAAGCATTGTTGTTCCCAACAAGAGGAATGGGTGGTGAAGTAGGAGACATCTGTTGGTCATTTAAGATGTCATGTTTGACTAAAGATAATGTCTGGTTCATGGCAGCTCGACAGGGCGATGGCTTCTTAGTTCGTGGCATTGTAGAAAACTGAAAAGAAATATATTTTATAATAATATTATAAGTATTATAGTCTAGCTCTTTTAGAATGTAATTAGGAATGTGCAAGTTGTCTGTAAGAGATTGTGATGAGGCCGTTTTTTGTTAGCATATTTATATTAATTTATTTTTTGTAAATATTTTTTCTATGCACAATAAAGAGTTATTATTAAGTACATTAACAACTTAAACACCATTAGCATAGAGTGTATATTTCAGTGAATATAAGTGGTCTCGTGCAGTGCGGTTTTAGAGCGTCCTCCCGTGTAAACTTACGTTGTGGAACTACCTGCCGAGGTCACCGCGCATTTGTGTGGTGTTTGAGTCCAGGGGCTATGGCTATATAGGTATAAAAAAACGTAATTCATATATGGATGACCCTAAACCAAGTTTTTTTTCATAAATGAATGGAATGGAACAGACATTTGTGTGGTGGTAGGAGATAGGAGTAATTGGAAGAATCACGGCGTCTGTCTTTTACTTGTCTGCAACGCATTGCGCGATACTTCGGACACGTTGCGCGGAGGAGTGTAGACAATATGGAGAGACTAATGGTAACAGGCAAGATAGAGGGTAAAAGACCTCGAGGCCGAAGTCCCACTCGATGGTCAGACCAGGTACCCGTCAGCTAAACATTACTGTCAGCGTCGCACTACACCAGGCGTCTGAGCGCACCCGATGGCGACAGCTGGTCGACAAGATACTGTAGAGTCGCGATCCTCAGCAGTGAGGGAACGATTAAGAAGAAGGAGATAGGAGTAGTTATTTTTACATTTTAGTATTTACTATATATAATTTATATTGTGAATAGTGACTTAGTACTGACTGACTGACCGTCAGCTCGCAACCACGGCTAGTGCAACCTAGTCGAAACGTCGAGTGAGGTAAAAATCTTTATTAACAATAAAATTATTAATGTTCAGATCTAGTCAAGAATATAAATAATGAGATGAGAGTAGTAACCTCGGGCAGTGGTGGCTTGGGTTTGGGCGGCACAGGTGCCTGCAGCCTCGTGGGCAGTCCGTCGGGCACAGCGCTGTAGTGTTCCACCAAACGCTCCAACGACTCCAGGTATGGCCCATCGTCTATGAACAGCCACTCGTTCTGTACAAACATCATAAAACTTCATTTACACAATGAAACTTCCAATTATCCACACATACAAGTTTATTTTTATTTGTTCTCATTTAACAGTCCAACAGATCATTGTTTATTGCAATATCGGGTATATGGATAAATATTTATGACAGACTTTTTAAAATAAAACTCATACACATCTCAGATGTTTGTCAACTGACAAAACTAGTTTTTTAAAGCTACTAGATACGTCATTTTGTCAATGTTAACTGAAGTCTAGATTTACAATACAAAATCATAAAAAGTGACTTTTGCCAAAAAACTTGTTACTCAGATTATATATAAATAAAAATCAGGGTGAATTAACCATGTCCGGTTGACCTCCACATGGTTCCTCCTGGAAATCATAGTGATAAGTTATTGGCGAATTAGTCACAATGGACATACTGACTCGACCTCATGTTCCACCGGTGCTCCGCCAGCGTAAACAGTTAGCGCAGGGGTGAATGCCATTCCATTAACATGATTTTTTTAAAATACCTCTTTTCTTATAATAAAGTTGTAGGGCGTGTTTTCGCTGAGCATGGTGAGAACGTAGGCGCCTGTGTGATGTTCGCTGTATCGCAGAAGGTAGGCGCCGTCGCCGCCATGCTTCTGCAGCGTCCGCACAGCCTCGCCGCGATTCAACGTGCCGTGGTACCACTGACTGCGCGAAGTCTTCGGAGGGGACGGTACGTGATTCTCTACAGAAATGTGTGTTTCTCAATAAAACTTTGAAAGCATTAGTACTAAGTTGATAGATGTTAATTAATATTGACTCTTATAACCAGTGTGATAAGAACCATTATCAACAGTCATTGTGTGAAACGTATTTCTAGTATATGAAGAATATGTACAATGCTATATTCTGAGTAAGGTCAGAGGCGATAACGTCACGCTACGACCAGTAGCAGCGGAGTATAAAAGAAAAATATTGCAACAATGTTGAGAAAATTTGATTCTCTTATATCATACAGAAGAAGTTGTGTAGGTCAGCTAGAGTTCAATATACATAAAGGTATACTTACTCAACAATTGATAGCATTCCGTATGTCCATGGTGTTTTGCTAAATCTGCAGGTGTTTCTTGTGACAGTGTCCTTGGATGCGCCGGCGCTCTCAATTTTAGTAAAACCTACAATATATAAATGTATTCATTTAGGAATCTTATTATTAGTGAGATCCCTCTATGCTTTATAAACTGCGGTCCATGGACCACTAAGATATTCGGGTAAAAAACACCACTAATACATATATAAGTACATGTATAAGATATTATAATTTTCAGTGTAATTCGTCGAGACTTAAATATTGGTATGATTTATAATTAAAATATTTTACTTTGTATTGTATTACATGTAAAACAAAATCGAGGTATGTACAATATTTTTATTTCTTATTCCATCAATAAATTGAGAAAAAAGTTTTGCATTGCCCTCAAGTGATGTTTTACTTTATTTTATTTACATTATAATATTTATCGAGTATTTTATGTATTATTCTAATTTTAAATATATATACACCTAACAAATATTTATAAATAAAACGACAAATAAACGACATATACAGCGAGAAGTCATAACTCATTGTTTAAACATGCATTGTGGTCTGCAATATGAACAAAGAGTTCAATTTTATATAACAATATTACCGATATATTATCTAATTTAACTTAAATATTGGTAACCACAATATTCCATAATAAAAATAATGTTTATTATTCCCTTGGAAGTATTAGTGGTCGGATATATATTATTTGTTATTTATTTATTTATTTATTTATTCATTTATTTCAGGCAACTAGGCCCATATTATAAATACCTTATAGACTAACATACATATAATATAATATTTAAAAACTAATACAATAATATTGTCTGTGTGATCACGGCACTTATATAATATATGTATAATATATATAATTCATATGAATATTATAAGTATGATAGTGTATCTATATAATTGTACATAGTTACGTTTAATTATATTTGATAATTCAAACTTGCTCAGGAAAAAAATAGTATCCATATTTACCTCGATACATTTGATGTGACCTCTCTGCGCGGCGTCATGTAGTGGTACTTTGCCCGTGACAGCGTGCCTCATCTGATAGTTTGCGTTGCCTTTTGTTATAAGCAGCTCTGTTGTATTTGGCAAATTGTTCTGACACGTATACTAAAACGAAATTAATATAATATTAAGCTGTATGATATTTTATATGCGTGTGCGAATGTAGATGGGTTATAAGGGCAGAGAAAGGGCGAAAAATAAATGGATAGTCTGTGTGAACGATGATATGTCAAGAACGGGAGTGAATAACTAGATGACTGTGGTCAAGGATGAACAGGAAATCATCATACGACCCATAAGGCATAAGAAAAAAAAGCATATGATGATTTAGTCATAAGACACCTTAGTTCTCTCTCTTCTAGTTCGTAGCAAAGCACGAATGGTGCCACCAATATATGATGATGTGATATCCGTGGTGCTGTTCATGTATATAGGCAATGGTTATCACATAATTTCAGGTAAGCCTTCAACTTGTTTATCAATCTGATTACCAAAAAGGCACATAATTCATGTTCTATAATGTTGTGTATATTGCATTTCTATATTTACAATGTAATTGGGAATCAAGTTATTATTATTTTAATATTTACCATTAATTCGCGAAACAAAAACTGTGTACCCTTTTTGCGAAAATTGCCGAGACGGAGACATTTCGCACACTTATATTTTATACTAGCTGTTCCCGCGACTTCGCCCGCGTAATTTTAACTTTATTTTTGTAAAATAAATCTAAAATAAAAGTAGCCTAAGTTACTCCTTATGGGGGGACATTACGGGACTTTTTTAGCAGGTAGTTGATGTACAACTACCTGCTAAAAAAGTCCCGTCAAAATATGTCCAGCCATTTCAGAGATTATTCAGAACAAACAGACAGTCAGACAAACAGAGAAAAATTGTAAAAAAAAAATATTTTGGTGTAAGTACCGTACGTATATTCATATGCATGTAGTAAAAACGGTTATTTCAATATTACAAACAGACAATACAATTTTATTTATATTTATTGTATGGATGTATAGATAGAGGAGTGGTACAGGAGAAGTCATATTTTTTCAAAATTATGCTTAAAAATATATTAAACCAATAAAACATTACACACACTATCATGTACTTGACACACATACATATATATACTCTTTTGTTTATTATTAAAGTCTGTGGTCAAGTTGAGAATAGATTAATATTGTGTGTCTTTAATACTATTTGAATGGCAAATTAATTATGTTTGAATTTCAACCATTGGGCGACAACTAGTTCTACTAACTAGGACAATTTACTTACATGTAACGGCGTGTATCCGAACGAGTCTCGCACGTTCACGGTGGCACCACTTTCTATGAGTTTCGCCAGGATGTTATCGCGGCCTGCACGGGCAGCTATATGGACAGCCGTCTGTCCGTCTTGGTTCTTCGCATCTCTGCTGTGATACCCGCAATCCAGTAGCTGTGACACTACGTTATAGTTGCCAGCCTCGGTAGCTCTAAATATAAAACAAAACAGAAAAAAATAAAACATAGAATATATTAGACAGGGATATCTTAAAATATAATGAAACCGCAAAGTATTACAAATTCTTTGTTAATTTATATTTCGACCGCCTCTCCAATGAAGGAAACACCTATATAAAACAAAAAACTAATCCATGAGCCGGCGGTAGACTCGCCGCCCTATGTTATATTCGAAATATACAGAGAGAGATGTGGCTATAGTCAAGTATTGCGTTCACCACATCGACAAGTGATAAAGCCTCTGATTACCCATTTTGTATACAGTCGTGCTGGTACGCAACAAAATATATTCTTTACACAATTCTAAAGAAAAATCCAGTTCTATATCTAATATTAAAGACGTAGTTCGCCAGTTTCATTGTTACGCAAGTTTTTTGATGTTGAATTTGTCCGTTGTTTTTATTGGCTAAAATCTAGCTGCATATGCAGGTTTACTAATGAATTAATTATAATCACTGTATTTTCTATCACTCACTCTTCTTGTTGAATATAAAAAGAAATAATAATAATATACAGAAAAAATCCTGACTGTACAGTGATTTTTTTTACTTTACTTTTTGTTGTTTCTTGTATGATATATATCTTTCAGAATGCCTTTGATTTCCTGGAAGTGATAAAGGCGTGCCTTATAAGATAGCACTATTTTTACGGAGAATAAACAATTACGTAAAGTGATTAACATTTTTAATTACTTGTATTGATATTGATCATGTGTATTTTAGAATATAAACCCTGTATGACATAAATGGATGCAGGTTTTAGTATTTGATATATCAGTATACACATCTAGATTATATTTGACAGCGTCAGTGGTCTAGCACATTATTTTACTTCCGATGGTCGCGGGTTCGATTTCTCGCATGGTAACTAACATTGTGATAATAAGATTATCCAATAATCACTGATGTTTATTTAACATACTCTATGTATTTTAGGTAAATACATTGCTAGCATATTAGCATATTATAAGTTATCAAATCATTTTTAAATAATAAAACTATTTTAATTGATTATAATAGTTTTTCGATTCCTTTAAACCCTATTATTACAATTTGATTAGTAGGTAGTTAACGTACAACAGAATGTTATGTGCTCTTGAAGACCATTCATGTTTGTAATACAAACAAAATAGGTAGCTAACAACAGCGTATGGATGTAATAATTATAGTGACTCATTAAATAAACAGTGATTCATCTGTTGCCAAACACAGATGTCTTGAACAAATCGTAAATAGTCGCTACAATGGTGTACGCACTCGGTTCATATAGAAAAAAAACAGACGCGTAGTATAAAGTACGAGTACAGAGGTACCTATGAGTAATGAGGAGATGTTAGCAAATACAATTCTATAAAGAATGTTTAGATCGAGTAGCAACGAACTTAAGTGTTTATTTTCAGTCTATGTTTTATGTCTTCTCGATTCAAATCACATCAATAATAATTTATTCATTTTAGCCGCTTATGAACGTATTTTTTTTTGTGTTAATATTATTCCCTAACGTCCAGTTCAATTTTCTACTATTCTTAATAATGAAAATTATCCGATATACATATTACACTAGCTGTGCCCGCGGTTTCACCCGCATGAAATTTATACCCTATGCATTATTTTGATGTATAAGCTATATTTACAACTGTAAAGTTTAATGATATTTTGATTAAACTTTAGAGTTATAAATAAAGCTTATACTTATAGAGTAACAAACAAACAACCAACCATCTATCATCCATCCATCCATACTCAAAACTTTCGATATTAGTTAGAAACTTTACAATATTTGTTAGATAGTATAATTAGATTTTTCTAAATTATTGTTATTCTATACTGTGTTAGGAAAATAACTAAGTGTTTTTGTTTTGTTATTTCACTACTTATTTATGGCTGTTCTTGTGAATTATTAAATTCGAAAATAAATGTTATGTAAACTTGCAAAAACTTACTGATTAATTATAATCTTGGAGACATTAAAAATGAAAATAAAATGTTCAGTAGGTTTTTTGTAAAAGCGTAACAAACAATCTGTCTGTTTTCACAAACATTCCCATTTATAATATTAGAAATATTTTGAAAAATCTAATAGTCCTTGTACTATTACCGATGCAAAACATACTTGAAAGGTTTAAAACATCTTTGCAAAACAAAGTTGAGGAAAACACAATGTATACAAGAACGAGCTATTTATATATTTTATTTGCTTAATTTAATTTATAACGATATTATTCGAGATATTGTACATTTTTTGTGGAAGTAGTTCCCAAAACGAGTGTGGGAAACAAATTCGAAATAAAGAGATGAAGGCCGAAGAAGAGATAGATGAACTGTGTGAAGGATGATATGGCAAAAAAGGGAGTAAATAACGACATGACTACGAACAGGGATGAATGGAAAAGAAAAACATTACGCTGACCCCAAATGAATGGAATAAGAAAGAAGCAGATGATGATACTTAATATTTTAGGCAGTCATTATTAATAAATACTAATCCTAAAATTATATACTTATAGGTATATACAACACTTAGGCACACACATGTGCTTAAGTAATTAACATAGTTTCAAAATGTAATTAATTCGCTACTCCAATCAGAGTTGACGTAATAATGTATATCTCATATTGTGGAACAATCTTATAGCGCAACAAATGTACTTATGTATCTATATGAATTCCAACGAATAAAGATCACAAATATTTATTGAATAAATACATTATTGAACAATGATCAGGCAGGAAATTGTCAATAAACTCGTTACTGTTATGATGTTACAAGTAGTTGATATATTCAGGATTCGTATAAAATATTCAACAATGAGTTCGCTTTTAGAGTTCTATACCATTGGGTACAAAAAAATATTACTTTACATATAATAAAATAACGAGAACAGTCTTTTCATGTGCTAACGTTTTACGTAAAACCAGCGTAGGAATCAGAATAAAATGTTACCTAAATTTGTTGTTAAATGTATTTTGTACTATAGTTCTTTGAAATTAGTCGTAATAATAATTTTTACGGTGATCTATTCGGTCAGTTCGATTTCTCGCACCTTACAAATTTATATTCCCGAGTATGATTGTTTTATATATACGTGTTTTCTATATATATTATGTATATACATATTTACGAAAGAATAAATACCAATAATAATAAAACAAACAAGACAGACAAGTTCTGCTTAGCTTGGGTCTACATGAATTGTCCTGAGATATTTTAGTATTGCATTATTAATTAATAAGATAACAACAATAAAAACAACAAATCATTATCAATAGTTTAGCGTGGATTTTCTTCCAACATTTAATTGCAACTATGAAATATAGTCGTTATGTAGTTTTTAATAGGCATCTCAGTGGAATGTTGACAACCATGCTCATTGAAACAATAAACAGTAAGAAGAAAATTAGGGCCAATTTGTGTGGCCCTATTCTCAATAGGACATCCTTCTTCAAGAAAATAATTTTAATAGATCGTTATCCGAATAATAATTAACATTCCTATCGTTTAACGAATTCAAAAATAAATTGTATTATAATATTATAAACGCTATGTATGAGTATGGACGGTTGGATGTTTGTTACTCTTTCACAAAAAATTATGCAACAGAGTTTGATGAAACTTTGCAGTAATATAGGTAGTTTATGTTAAGCTATAATTTAAAAAGATATTATGTAAATTGGGCGAAGTATAATGATAAATGACAAGTAAATATGATGCAGATGAAGTTGCGCGGGTCAACTAATATGATATAAAAAATATATACAAATGCTGAGGTTGATGAGAATGGATCTAGAACGGTAACTATATGATGATTCATAACTGGGATCTCAGTACTATTTGTATATTTGCAATATCTACGAAAATATAGAATAGTTATAAGAAACGTAGCTAATGGAGCGAATCTTTTCTGAATTTTCATAAATAAACTATCAATTAGATGAATCATATTACAAGAATAATGTTGCTGTGCAAACTGAAATAACAGTACAGATAAGGAAGGAGCAAGGTTTATTTATCATCTGATAAATTATACCACAACAAAGTAACCACCCAACTAGGTAATCACCCCACTTCAAAAAATACAGGGATATCTCATGATAATAACAGCAAAACGTAGGGCCTACGTCGGTAGTAGGAGGTTTATCATTAATAGATAGTCCCTGGTTAGCGGGGGAATCACCTCCTTCAGATCTATGTGACACAAGATTTATCAATGTTAATGTATATTAAGGGCACCCATGCTTGTTTATTTATAAATATACATAATTATTTCAGTATTATCATTTCAGAAAACGAGTCATGATGTTGGAATTATTCAGATTTTCCACTGTAAGTTGTAAAGTATAATATAAAAGCCCTTTATAGTAATAGAAATTAAACTTTTCTGATAACTGATATAAATACATATAAATTAGAAAACATACTTCAAGGCTCTTCGAAATATATTACAAAGTTGAAATATACTAAAAATGCATGAATATACCTTGAATATTCCAACTATTTACTTAAAAAATATACCTTTCTCCAACATAAAACAGCAGTCAAATAACATAGTAAAATAGTATAGGAGTATATATGAGAACTATTGTAATCAAGTAATATTTTGTTTAAATATCATTTAAACAAACTGAAATCTATGTAATATGAAATATTTAAATATGCTTATGACAGACCTACTTTACATGTCGTGACTATCACATTTATAATACTAGTAATGTTATAAATGTGCCTGTTTTTACACATTTTCATGATTTTAGGAATGAACATATCTTCATAACACAAGTATGGACGGCCTATGTCCATCTTTTATCTAAAGTAACCTGATGAAATTGCAGTAAACACCTAGTTTAATAAAAAGAAGTGTAATATAATAAAATAGTACATAGTTTTATAATTTAGGTAACCAATTATCTTCAGACAGTTGTTAATAGTTGTATTTATAAACAATATTTTTAGAATATAAAGTATAATTATTAAAATGCATTTTCTATGTAAAGTAATACAGGATTACATACCTATGTAAGAGGTTAGTGGTTCCTTGTGTACGTGATTCATGAGGTGGTGGTTGGCCTTTGCAGACCACCGACAGTCGAGTCACAAGTCCATTTGAATCACCACGGTAATGTTGAATAAGTGTATCTAGGCCATGTACAGTTGTGTGTTCTTCAATGCTGAAGAAAGCATCTTCACCATGTCTTCTAATTTGGTAATGCACTACTTCACCCTTAAGAAAGAAAATATATTAATAAAATAGAAATTCAGTACAGAATGTAACAAAGAATTGCCTATGTAAACATCACTCAAACTGATAAGTAATCTATGAAAATACAAACAAAAACACACAATAAACAGGCAGTACCAGTTTATCAGTATAAACAATAACTTTGGCAAGGACATCACTATACATATGAAAACACAAGAGGTTATGTTACAATAACTGACCTGATGAAGAACAGAAAGCACATAGTCTCCTGGTGAAGTGTTACTTTCACGTACTAAGAAAACCCCATCTTCACCCTCTGAAATTATACACCACTCGATTAAATATAAACAAAAACAATACACCTATTTTGAAATTAATATCTAAATTGAACTAACCTTCTTTTAATAACTTTTCAGCAGTTTCCCGTGATATTTTCCCATGGAACCAGTTAACATTATCTTCTCTGTTCATCCTCAACAAAAAAGAGTTCGTCTGAAAAGTTAATTGGAAACTTGTTCAACAAGTATCAAACAATCAAAAGGTTTCCCTTGAACATTTCCTTCGACGGAAGCGGCAATTTATATTACAATACGCTTCAATTGAATGATAATAAAATTAAACAACATTTATTATACAATTGCACATTTCTACACGAATGAGAATTCAATAACTTAAAAAATTGGTAGATAATCATGATACGTAATCAAACTTTAAAAACTATTCGCCATATTTCATTCTATTTCTTTCTAACATGAACGAAATATCCATTGGAATAACCAGACAATTTACATTATGCTACTATCAAATATTGTCCTCGCAGTTCACTGATAAGTAACCACGAACGCTAAAGCGAGACGGAAAAACCTAGGTGGTCTACTTCAAATAGTTACATTTTGTATATTGCAAACGTCACAAACCTGGATCAAATAAGAAACTGATAAGATTTCTTGTTATTAGTTAATTGTTATTATTATTATTATTATCAATTATTATAATCTAAATAATATTTAATTTATTTAGAACTTACCTTAAGTAATATGAATGACGTCATGGTTGTTATCATGTTATCCAACTTTAGTCCACAAAAATATTTATTGTTACATAGTTTTGTAAGAAGTGAAAATTATTTATTTTTCTTAAGTTTATTCTGAATACACATTTTGAAATTAAAGTAGTTTTAGATTATTTCGCACAAAATAATAGCGGTGAACGGAGCGCGTCTATAACGAGCAACCGGCAGACAGGCGCGGTATCCCCGACTCTGCCTTCCAGCGAATGACTCATAGCAAGGTCAATTCCGAGAAATGAATCACCAATGTACTCAGTTCCACAAAGACATAAGTAACTTGCATTCCCTCACTGTTTTGCTTCTTTGTATTTGTAAATAAAGCAATAATATTACCTGATTACCTGTATTTACTATGTATGTATATACTCTGGTATGTGGTACATACGTATCTACGCTCTACACTGCAAATTCCAACACTTTTACTACTACACTTTCATTTCCTAAATAGGTACGTCTATATATCTATTGGTTCAGTAGCTACCTCTGATACAGCTATGATAAGAGATATAGTAACTGATATATTGATAGTACCTGATTTGACACAAATATAAAAACCAATTGCATAAAGGGCGGAAGAGGAATCTGTGTGATTCATTATCCAACATCCAAGCTGATCTGACACGCATGATCATGCACTGTCACATGATCATCTTACAATGCATATAATTAATCCTGCCCTTTTGTCTGAGCCAAAGTATGTATATGGCATAGGTAGGTCTCTATTTTTCTATATTGTGGATTGATGCACTATAGTTCAAATAATGTAATATGTTGTATTCCCCTTACTAATGAAATAGAACATTGAAACTACGGCTGCATTTTACTACTATTCAAAAAAAGGATAAAGCAGTTCAATAGCTAAAATAGGTGTATTAGATATTTGGGTTTTTGTAGAAATAGAGAATGATTTTTTGCTATAAATTGTAACACCCGCCTGTGTTAATGGAATACGTTAACAGGACAGTACCTAGTCGAGAATGAGTATCAAGTTAGGTCGGTTAGTCTATGTGGCGAAATAACAAGTTAGGGAACGAAATACGATGGTGGAGGGCTGATATATAGTCGATTAGTCGTTAAGTAACTCGAATGTGACTCATGTTCCAATGGACTCCGGTTGGTAGGTACATCTTTGAAGGGGACGAGGCATATCAAAACGCATTTGGGCAACCTGATTGTTGAATGACCAGTGGTCTAACGAGACCACCATATCACCGACATCTAAAAACACAAAGTAACTACACTACCAGATTGTACAGCATTATTTTTAAGATCAACAGTCGATACAATTCCACAAACTATTAGATCAAGTAACGAAATACGTACTTGTCGAATTTTAAAAAGTCGTCAGCCAGCTTATATTATGTATTACCTGTGGGCAGGATATCTCACGATACTGCTAGTATTTTATGGGATTGTTTGACAACACAACCAATTTATAATGGATTTTAAAGTTGATGGGCCCCCTATGTAGGTGTCTATTCATTATACGGGGTCACATCTATATATTTAAGTTTCCGTACAAAAATCTTACAGTTAGTTGGTGCAAGCGAATCCAATACTTTCTTACCTTGATAACCTTAATATCAGTACATGTGAATATTTTAAAAATAACTGTCGCACTATCTTATAATAACACAACTTACACCTACTTACAAAGTATGTTGTCTACTAGTGTTTTATCTTACCTGCTTTATGTAGTGGCTGTAAATCTAAATGATTAATCGTATCACGTTTTTAAACTGTGATCGTTTTCAAATAAAAAAAAATAGTAACCTAATTATATAGCTTCGAACGAATAAGATATAATTAATCTACTGTAGATAAACAGAAAAGGTATATCTTATACCTATTTCGCATGATTTTAGGCACTCAAAATATTCTATTATCAGCCGGAAACGGAAATAATAAACATACTACGACGTGAGATAAAATTATGCCTGATACTTAACAACTTTGTGTGTCAGTTTAAATAATTATGAATAATCCGGTAATGACACTAATAAAAAACCAAATTAATTGGAGAAACTACGCTAGACCCACCCTCGGCCACGTTGAATTGCAATAGTTACGAGTATACTCAAAGAAATGTGGACATATGAAGTGTTGTGAAGACTACGTCGATCGACCTGGGATTACCTTTATTATTAAATGATTTATTGATTTATTATGCTTATACATGTAATATCGTAGGGATGACAAAAATAGTGAAACATATTCCCCGACCATCCCTTATACCAGAGACAAGATAATATTACATACTTATACCACAGATAATATAATATTACATACTTATACTAAACTAGCTGCACCTAGGACTTCGTCCGCGTGGAATTTAACTTTATTTTTCTAAAATAAAAGTAGCCTAAGTTATTACATCAGCTACCTGCCAAAAAAAGTGCTGTCAAAATCGGTCCAGCTATTTCAGAGATTAGCCGGAATAAACAGACCGACAGACAGACAGACCAAAATTTTAAAAAGTGGTTTTTTGGTATATTTACATATTTATATATATATATATATATATGCATGTAGTAAAAAACGGTTATTTCAATATTACAAATAGACACTCCAATTTTATTTAGGTATATGCATCGAGCATCGATGTATAGATGTACAGATATTTAAAAAGGTTGTTGTGCCAGTTGAATAATCATTGTTTCAATTATTTGTCTAAATTGTCTAATTAAATTATGTGTCTATTTATTTAGATATTCCAAAATTGTATACGACTTGCTAGAAAATATTTCTTTTATTTAAATAATTAAAAAAATAGTGTTATCAGTTGACTCAAAACAACTAAGGAGGTATCTGCTTTATTTAAAACTGGCTGTGCCCGCGACTTCGCGTGGAAACTAACTCTTTTTTTAAATAAAATATTTTTTCTAAAATAAAAGTAGCCTAAGTTACTCTTTATTACATCAGCTATCTGCCAAAAAAAGTCCCGTCATAATCGGTCCAGCCATTTCAGAGATTAGCCGGAACAAACAGATAGACAAAAATTGTAAAAAAAAAATGTATTAGTGTATGTACCGTATTTATATTCATATGCATGTAGTAAAAAATGGTTATTTCAATATTACAAACAGACACTCGCAATTTTATTTATACATATGTATGTATGTGTTATACAATATAATTAGTAAAACGTTATTGTTTAAAATTTTTTTTTAAAGCCTGAATATAAATACTGAGTAGAGGTCAAGTTTGAATTTGTAGGGCTGTAGCTTTCAAAATATAATATCCTAGCTACCCGCCCCAAATTAGCACGGTTGGACATGTATTATATGTACCTATATATAAACCGTCCTCCTGAATCACTATATATTGCTGAAAACTGCATTAATATCCATTGCGTAGTTTAAAAGATATAAGCGAACAGACAGACGGGGGCGATTTGTTTTACTATGTAAAGATTATACAACTATTTCATACAATTTTTTCCTTATTTCACCAGTTTAAGATACACAAAGTTAAAGAGAACAAAGCCCGGACCAAAAGAAGGGTAATGTGAAATGAAACCCTGTCGTATGTATTATATTTATCCCGCAATTCTATTACTTTTATTGGATTAATCACAGTTTCTGTTCTGTAAACTTCTGTGACATGGATGACATTTTAACTAACGCTAGGAAGGTAGCAGAGAAAAAGATGGACAAATTGATGCATGGATATGTAAGAAAGAGACAGCTATATAACACAGATAACAATTTTATTAAAACACCTATTTCATGTAATTTCAACCGTATGTAGACGGCGTAAAGATGGTATTGCATTTTACCACATGTACGTAGTACTTACTACATATCGGATCGATGTCATTGCCTTATCGAGTGAAGCAGCGCAGCGCAACTTGTCGAGCTAAACAAACTCCACTCGAATTCATTCGATCCGATCGCCATTTTGTTGAATACATTCAACTCGTGATAGGCACATTTGACTCGATATGCGTTCATGTTTAATCGTTTATTAGATAATAATTTTGGCGGCAAATTGATTATAAAGTGAGTGAGATTTATTAAATCAGCATGAAGAAGAAGTACTCGTCCATAGCGTGGCAATTTTTCGACCGCATTGAGAATGAAAACAGATGCATTGCAGTGTTGTGTAAACTATGTGATACTCAATATAAGTTTTTCGGTAATACAACAAACTTACGAGTACATTTGAAAAACAAGCATCCGCTACAGTGGGAATTGGCATTAAACGGCAGTTTGGATGACAGTAATTTTCAGATAGAAGATGATGAATCTAATCAGTCAGCGGTATCTCCAAAACGGAAATCTTATTCAACAAGGTCCTACAAAGATAAAAACGTACGTTATTCAGTATCAGTTGATAATACAAGAAACACAAGAGAACGGATACCGAAAATTGAAATACAAAGGGTATAAAGAACTTCTGTTTAGGTTATAATGGGCATTGATAGAAACTTGACAAACTAATTTGTTTCTTTATTCTATTATCTGTGGTATTAGTCAAATAATTTAAATAGATAGGTACTTCATCGATCACCAATCGATTGTGATCGATTATAAAAATGATGTTCTGCACTGCATAAATTTCCATCGACATTTCGATATATCTACACTAGATAGGTAATATGTTTTGTAAACATACAATATTCTCCAATATTTAATAAATACTATATAAGTTTTTTTTAATGGATGATAATATAACAATGTATGCACCTGCGCTAACGGTTTGCGCTGTCGGGACACCAGTGGAGGCTGAGTCAGGTCAGTTATCCTAATGTTGCCAATTCCAGGGGAGACCGCGTGGAGGCAAACTTGACATGGTACATTGCGAGAAATGGGGTCACTCATCACAATCACAATGGGGACTCCCATTGCTAATATACCGCAATATAATATTAGTAGTTTTTGGCATTGGTTGATATTTTTCTGACAACTTTTATATTTTTAGTACCCAATTCTGCATTTTTAACAAACGACATAAAGAGGTAACATACAAACACACTTTCGCATTTATAATATTAGCCAGTAGGTTTATCTAGGTAATCAGAAATAACTACCATATTATAGACACATATTAACACAATATTCTTTTCCAATTGCAGATAGACGTGTTATCAGATGTTGATAATGATAATAGAGACAACGAAGACACAGAGGCTACATTCAACCTGGTAAGACAGTTGCACGAAGGCTCAGATGAGGAGTGGTTGGTAGACGACCAATACCAAACTACATACACCCCAACATCTAAAAAAGTATTGTATAGAAAAATAAAGAGGGAAGTACAAACACCACCGAGAAGATTGCCCTCCCGACCGGTAAATTATGAGAAATCACCGGTAGTTATAGAGAATACAATTTACAGAGATGAGTGTTCTGTATTTGGGGAATATGTTGCGAATAAATTAAGAAAATTAAAGGTATCACGAACCCGTAGTAATTTACAGCAGTTAATAACAACAATACTGTGGCAAGCTGAGTATGGAACATATGATAATGCAAACACTGTTAAAAGAGTGCTAATGCATTCTGTACAAGAGTCTGAGCTTGAAACGGGTACGATTCATCCCGATCTAGACGTAAATGTAGAAGGGGAGGAGGTTATTGAACAGCCAGATGACATACCAAACCAAAGTATGGAAGTAGAGGGTTAAGGGCTACACATTCAAATTGAATTCTTAGAATATTTGCATTATCTAATATATAAAATTCTCGTGTGACGGAATTTGGTAAATCCTCCGAAATGGCTTTACCGATTATTATGAAAATTTGTATGATAAGATTATACGGGTAGGTCTGAGAATCGACCAACATCTATTTTTCTTACCCCTCAATCATAAAGGTAGGAACCAGGTATATATTTTATTAAAAAAATCATTTTGAAGTTTTCATGATTCAGCATTAAAATATACACATTTTTGCACTGCTACCATGAACCCTGTTTTTAATAGCGATTTAATGTATGTGGCAAAACAACGTTTACGGGGTCAGCTCGTTTCTCGATAAAAAAATATTTAGTCCAAATAATTATTTAATAAATAGAATTATTTTCTACTGAGTTTCGTACACATAAATATATTATTGCATACATTAACTTCGCATTAAATACTTTTCAAAATCAGAAAATTCTAAATGTTGATGATGAGCAATTAAAAGTATAATAAAAAATACATATTGTCTAATATTGCATGATTCATATATGAAAACATGGGATTGTTTTGAATTGTCTCATTATCATTATCATTGAGCAGAACTTATGTTTGCATGTCCCTCGTCCCCTCTTTTTTTTATACTACGATGGTGGCACCGGATGGACCGACCATCGTAGTATAAAAAAATGATGATAAATAGTCACCATAGCCTAAGACAGAATACGTGAAAATATTCTACAACAACAATTAAACTAATTGAAATTTTGTGCATAAGATAAGACAACTAATATCAACGGTTCACACTAGTCGAATTTTATTAAATAATTGTGTTTTAGAATTATAAGTAACTAAATAACTTGATTTGTACCAAAAAAGATTATCAATATTTCATTCGCATGAACAATTCAAACCAGTATAAAAATATGAAAAAATGTGTAATGTGTTTTAAATTGGAATTATTAAGAATTTTTAGAATAACGAAAACGATACCTTTATATTTACAGTAATATTAAATTAAGCGTAGTAGAGCGGAACGTAAATATTTACGGCAAAACTACGATTGAAAGTATTGCTATAGTACTGGTGTGAGTTCTGAAGGAGTGTCTAATAAAATTACGATGTAGGTAACATCGTAATTTTATTGGACACACTCCTTTTAAGCGAACAATGCATAAAAATTCATTAAGTACCTACAGAATTATTTTTTGCGCAGTTATTGTATACCTGTGACAACTCAAAGTAGGCGTCGAATCGTCTAATGAATTAATGTACATGACATTAATTCAATAACGTGATTTGATTGTATAATTGAATTAAGTCTCTTGTATATTGTACACTCACATACATAAATATATGGGTAACATCATATTCGCATCATAATGAGGCGTCTTTGTTATGTAACATTGATTTCAATTAGACATAATACCCACATCATATATTTTTATCGTTAAGTAAGTATATCAAGTTACAAAAATGTCCAAAGTATAACTTTATATACTGAAAGTATAATATTATCTGTAATAAAATAATGTTGATATTAAAAAAATTGTTTTGTTTTTCGTCATTTAAAAGCAATGTATTTGTTTTATGCTTTTACTTAATTTATTTTATTGTTTTAGTTTAGTGATCAATACAGCAATAACTCCATGGTATAGCCCATTTTTCAACTATTTTCGAGAGGAACATATTCTATTGGTTTGAAGATATGCATATGTATAGGTAATATTGTTTAAAATTTGTACACAATTGTAGAGTGCTAGTCACAATGGTATCCACTGTGTAATTTATTGAGATCGTTGGGAGTTTCAAGATGAATAAGTTCCCATGCCATGCCATAAAGACAATGACAACTTGGATTCAGTTCCAAAGTCTAGCTGCAAAGCATTATCTCAGCTCATCGTAACAAATTTACTAGTAATTAACCACGATAGTTTCCAGGGATAGGTGGAGTCACTCGAAGTCAACTTGGCATGGAAAACTACTAGCAATTAGGTCACAAATTTCCTTTACTAACAATTCCCTCCCTCCTTACTAAAAGTGCAGGTAAATACTTATAGCTCGCTCCACTTTCTACCAGCACTGAGTAGCGGTCGATGACACTGATACCTGATACCTACTTATTATTTTTATTGAGCAATGTAGCCTTCTGGTACATTATGCAGGAAATATCCTTTTGCATTCTATTACTAAAAAAACGGTGACTATCATAAAGTATTGAGTATGTTTTTATTACCTAATAATTTATATTAAAATTTGTTACTTTTCTTACCCATGTTTGATAAAAACTTTGATAATTACCCGATTATACCAAATTGTTTGTTTTATTAATTTTATAGCAGAGTATATAATCATTATCTTCTATTCAAATTCGAATAGGAGCGTTCGGCCTCTTGTGCACGTCTTATGTGGATTACTATCCCTACCGTATAGTTCGGCTAGCTACTTCAATTGAGAACAACTCTACTTATGTGGTATAAATTTTGGGTCCAAATAAGTAATCAACACCCTTGAGGTTTTATTAAGTAAGTATTGAAAGATTGTACCCATAGGTATATTAAATTTTTTCATTTATTGCCTTCTTCGAAGAATTCTTCGGAACGATCAATGGAACACAAGCATATACCTATTCGTATTTAGACGGAATGTGCGTAATGCCTGCTATGAATGTTTGCGCAAATCCGAACGGTAGCCAGCGATGAGGTAAGCCATCACAGACTATGAATTAAAAAAACAAAAAATGTATTAAGTAACAGTAAGACGATAAGGTCTAATGGGGGGGAATGGGATTGTTAGTAATGTGGACTAATGAACCCATTGCTAGCAATGTACCATGTCAGATCGACCTCCACGCGGTTCCCCCTGGAAACCATCCTGATACATTCCCGGTGAATTTGTCACGTTGGGCTAACTGATCTGACTTCATGTTCGTCTTATCATCCTCCACTGGTGCCCCGCCAGCGTAAACCGTTAGCGCAGGCGGGTGCACCATTCCATTATCATCCTTTAAAAGATAAGGTCTAATGTGGTATACGAAATTCGACCCACTGCTGTAGTCATGCAGTTTATTTTGCACGAGTCTTGTTACTCGTATATTTTGAGACGCCATTTCGACAAATCTAGCTGTGAGTCATCGATTCAAATACAGATCACAGAGCGTGAAATTCACATAAATAATCATTAAACGTAAGATAAAACGGGATTTTTACGAGAGTTATTCGTGGGAATATTGGAACTACCGTAATCTAAGGCAATTGTTCTTAGAAAGAAATAATGAAAACCGAATAAAATAAAAAAATACCATGAAATTAATAATATATTACGTATAAAAAGAGGTGGTGCAGATATTATTGAATTTAAAAAGGAAGACAATGAGAGCGTCTTAGCCTAGTGGTTAACTAGTTTGAATTACATCTAAAGTCATGAGTTACAATCTGACCAAAACCAAAAAAGGTGAAACACCTACACATGACTATTATTCCAGATGGGATAGTCAAAGGTATTTACAATTGTCGATGTTTTGATGAATGCAACTGTAGACATGAGTGCATTTCCTTCGGTATACCTATTTAAATCCTACCATCGTCTCTCGGATAAATTTTTGGTGTGATATCGGAGTTTACTTCACCGGAGTATCAGTCAGTACCTAATGTAAGTATGATATATTTTGGATGAAGCCTAATTTATACTGACGTCCACGAATCATGATTAGTAATACCACTACTCCTCGATGCTCTCATAAAAAGAAAGATCGTCTATAATATCACAAAATGTATCATTCTTGTGTCTAACATCTAAATTGACCTCCATATAAATACATATATTACGTATTTCTGCTAGGAAAAAGATTCACGATGCTTTCCAGGGGGAAACACGAGGAGGTCAACCTGACATGGCACATTGCTAGCAATAGTGATAGTGTTAGTAGCACACATTACTAACAATTCCGTTCCAGCCAACCTACAGAAGTTAAATATATCAGACCTTAGAAGAGACACGTCATCGGGGTACCATGACGTACCAGAATATCCTATACCTAATGTATTTTGTTATTTTAAATGCTTCATAAAAATTTGTTGGAGTAAAATATCATAGTATAATTATCATAGTAAAATCATATAGTAAAATATCAAAGACAAAAAGACTAACATGGCATATTGTTTATTCATATAAAAAACGATAACTTACTACTACAGAGACTTAACAGTAGGTACTTAAATTTAAATAACATTATATATGACCGTACAATTTTTTTACAAATGTTATATCAAAACATAATGATCACCAAGTACAGTCGGCTTCATAAATATATTATGTGACAGAGTGATCAATAGTGTTGGCAGCAAAGCATGTAAGCAAATTATTACTTTTAAGGCATAAAAATTATATAAACTGAGTACCTATTAAGTATGCAATATAACAATATTTTGTAATATTTTGGTTCTGTAATGTTATATAAATAATTCTGTACTTTGTCACATTTACATTTTATTGGAAATGTGTAGAAATAATCAGAGTTGTCAGTAATGTTACTGTGACAAATAGTGTCTTATGTGTGGTAATATTCTTCTTCATGCTACGATTTGTATAAGGTTGACCATACACCTCTATACAATCAATATTAAAGTAACATTAACAATGATAATTAATTTTTACTTATAATATAGGCACTATAGTATTATTATGACCTTACTTTGGAAATTTCACGTTAACGTAATATAATATGCTTACTGTATATATATAGCATTGTTCTGAAAATGTGTGACAGTAAATATTTAGTACCTGAATATGATTTAATATTTCTAAATGGATGTTAAATATATTTCCAACCTTTCAAACTTTCTATAAAATTAAATAATGATCCATTAGATTACAAAATAATCATCGAATTCAGTGCAGAATTGGCAAAAATAATATGTATAATATACGCTGTAAAAAATAGAAAACAGTTAATTGGGAATTGCTTCCTCATTGAAATGTAAGTACAATACAACAAAACTATTTGAAACATTTATTTATAATAGATTTAAGTAAATAAATTTCATTTATCAAATGACAGGATAACACGCAGGATTATCCGAAAAATTTAGTAGTTAATAAATTGTTGTTTTGTTCATAACATATTATTTAATTATTATAAAAATAAAAATTAAATAGGGTTAAGCATCCACTATGATTTTTAGTAGGTATAGCATACCTATAGGTAGAGTCAACAGCAACAATATGTAATTACTTATATACCTTGTTAATAACAATTCGTAAAAAAATTCAACAATGCCACTGCGACATAGACTGATGTTTATACCTTGTTAGAATAACAAATAATACGTAAAAAATGTCAAGAGTACTACTGTGACATAGTACTGATGTTGTACATATTATTACCTGTGACATTACACTCTTTTTTGTTCTAGAATACAATACCTATAACATGATAAGGTTACGTTTTTTAATTATACACTATCGTTCCTACTGTTACTTCTAAAAATAATTTAATATGCTGTATATTTACAAATGCGTGTTGCAAAGTGAAATTTATGATAATTTTATGACATTTCTAATTACATTTATTATTAAAAAATACACTGGAAAGGTGGACCTCACATTTGCAGTCGTAAACCAAATTCTAAATGGATGCTATTATGTTTTAACATATAAAATAGAGCTATAATAGATGAACCGATGAACAGATTGACCATTTCTTTTTAAATATTCAAAAGCAGATATATATTTTTTCTGTACAGGTACAATTTAGAGACTACAATCAATGCAGGTGAGATTGAATAACAATATTATAGGAAGTATACTAAAAGTGATCTTTAAAACTAAAACAAATTTTAAAGTTAGATATTAAGGCACAAATGATAATATTTTATAAAAAAAATACATAATTGATTACATTAAGGGTAGTACATATTACTAGAAAACCATTTAACTGTGTTATACATTTCTGGAATAACTACTCCCTTTCCTTTAAAAAATTATATAACAATAATTTCATCCAAATTGAAATAATTATTTCATGACGACACCTTAGTGTCTACTACTACTTCGCTCTTTCTATAATGTTTATATTAAATAGGTACAATTTTGATCGTCTGTAGACATAATAACAGGTACGACAAGGACGGCAATTGCTTAGATCTAAAATTTATAAGACTTCATAATAGCAGGTATAATGTACTCTTTAAAAAAATATGCATTGCTTTATCACAGCGAATATATTGATAGGCACCTAATTAATTAATGCATAATATTCAACTAAATCTAATATTTTTATTAGGTATTCGTCGCATTGCATTTTATACGACCAGTTTACATATCTAAGAAGTGTTAAAAATTGAAATAGCTACGTTTTATTTGATTACCATTTTCTTAAATATACTTTCGAATATAACTCACACAAATGAAATAAATTGTCTTTTAAGTATTATTTTTTTATGTATAACTAATACTAAAAGCAAAGAGAAAAGTAATTGATAATTTTCTGTACATATTGGCATAGTTATGGAGTTATGGAGTGTCAACCATACGACTTAAAACGAATTATACGACATATTTAATTGGCAGCACTGAATTAACTTCCTATATGAAAATATAATAATAAATATTCGCTTTAAGTCTCATAAAGTGGTTAGGCTAGCAGTCTAATATAAATTGATTACAAAGATAAGGTGTTTAAAAATATTACGTAAATAGTTTTCAATAGTTTATTATACAAGTAGCTTCTATTTTTCAATGAAGGACTCTATATTTATCCTCTATAAAATAAAAATTCCGTACATAAACATTTTTTTCTTAAAATAGCATAAAACGCATTTACAGTTTTTTCATAAACCAAGGTAATAAGTCTATACAAAAACTCGTTATTGTTTGTTTGTCAAAAAATTGTCGTGTTTAGCGTCCGATGATCAGTTTTAACAAAATGTATTTTCATTTTAGTAGATTTCTAAACGCCATATACTTACAAAAAATGAGACCTGAAATGACGATGCGTCGTCACGTGTGGTCGAGGTGGTCACGTGTAACAGTTGTCTTCATCGGCGTGGTCTGAACAGTCGATGGTACCGTCACACAGCTGCGCGAGAGTGATGCACCTGCCGTCGACGCAACGCAATTCCCCGCTGGGGCAGGGCGACGCGTGTGCACTCATCGAGCCCGGATTCCCTCCTGTAAACTCTTCTTCATCACTTTTAGTGACGGTACTGTTCCTTTCAACCGACTCGTCCTTTTCTTCTTGTGCTTTCTGCAAAGAAACAGTTTTATATATAATTATAAAACTGTAATTAATTTCCAGTATTTAAAAAATACTAATCATTTGTGACTAAGAACTATCCCGATTACCTCTGCTTTCGAAACAAAACGAACACATTATAATAGGCCCATTCTTTAACAACACATAGACAGGGACACAAATTAAAAATCTATCTCTTTTACCATTGGCATTTCAAAACAAATATTGTATTGATTATGGTTTATAAGTACATAGAACAGACCTCTGCTCTATGAGTATATTTGCTCACTTTAATAATTTCCTAAAGTAGGATTAATCAACACATCGGAATTAATATCTAATGCTACAAAATATTGTACTCAAAGAACTCCTACTATTTGAAGTACCATTATAGACCGTAAGTGTGTCGACAATTTGTATTGCTTTTGTGTAAAGACTGACAGGGCTGACCAAGCCTAAGAGAGATAGAGAAATATGAAGGTGAGAAAGGAAGACCCCAGCAGTGTGTTAATAATTTACTTACATGGCTTACAAAATTTACTACAAAATTTACTACTCCTATAAAATAACGTAATAGAAACGTTATTTTCATACAATTTTATGTAAATTCGCTTTGAATTTACCAAATAATTTTGACTATTAATCATTCCCAAATCTCAATACTTTAGTCATTTTTTGTAACATTCACACACAAATTTGAAAGTTTTTTATAATGTTTGAATTTAATCGATTGAACAATCAAGTTTCGTCAACCACAATGGAATATACGAACAGAGCTGTGTCTATTAAAATAACAAGGAGTTTTTTTTACCTTCAACATTGCAGCTCCATTTATTACTCTTTCCAACTTGTTAATCGATTTATCAAGGCGCGTGGGTCTCATTTTAGGTATAGTTGGTGCTGCATTGTCTTGAGCTTCATCCTGTGCAAATATATATGATAATTTTAGTAAATTTGTAAGTTTCATAAAATAGAGTCGTTAATGGGTTATTGATTATTGTACAGATAGACAAATTATAGTATAAGTGTCATGACATCTTAATCATCTGGAATGACAATGCATTAGCGCTATCACAGACATCATACGATGATGCGATGCCGTGGTGCTGTTCATATATCTATATAGGTGACGGTTACCGCATATTATCAGGTGGGTCCACAGATCATTTGTCATTCTAGTTAAATATTTAAAAAAAAGTCGAAAGAAATAATACTAACGTTCAACATTGCATCATCATTGATGACCCTTTCGAACTTATTGTTCGACTTATCAACATGTGACATCATCGCATGCTCCTCTACTGGCGGAGGTGGAGCACCACGGAGAGATCCTCTCTGCATGTTGAATGGTGTCTTATTAATTAACTTTTTGTTAGGAAATTTCGGCTCCTTATCAAACTCTGCAAAAATATCATCGACATTCACATCTTCACCTGATTCTAGTTCTACTTCAGATTTAGATTTTCGTTTATCTACAATATTAGATTTTTCGGAATTGGGAAATTTTCTTGGTACTGGTGGAGTTTCGTTTTCATCAACTGGTTTGTTTATCGATGGTGCTCGGAGCCCTGGTCTTGTATATGGTGTTAGACGTGACGGTGATGGCCGTCGAGTGAAGTTCCTTTTCAGGGCATTGGTACTATCGCTGGTGATGAGCAATTCCTTGCTGCTGTCATTTTCACCTATAACACGACAATCTAATATTACTACATGTACAGTATGTATGTAGGTATATACAAGTTAATAAAAATAACAAAAATAGTATCGAAACTGTACCTGAAACGGGAGATGTTATTATCTACCTATTTTAATATTCTAATGATTTTTGCATGTATGGTTTTTTTTTATTTATAGTAATATTTACCGCTTCCTTTGTGGCGACATACTTTCGGCCTATTTTTTTCTTTTTAATTATCCTGTACATGTGTTCCATTGTATTTTTACCCGTAATACCCTAATTATACATAAATAGTTATTACTTATGCATTTTCAAGACTCCTGTTGCATACTCTAAAAATATTTGCCTATCATATTTACCTATACTAGATGTAAATTTTCATAATTAAATCTTTTTCTGTTAAACATGCATGTATGGTTGTGTCGAAAGGGTTAGAAAGATAGACAGCATAATTGTACAACAGACCGCTCATGATCCCATATCGGTCATGGTTATCCATGGTATAATAAATTGTCAACCTACTAAATGGGCAGTATTAATTTTATTTTCTTTTCACTGTATATTCAAATTGACACGTCTATTAAATAGTCAGTGTACAGAAAATTAAATAAGTAGTAATAAATAACACAAAACAAAGTCTATTAATCCAAATAAATTCTAGAATAACCATAAAAAACATTTTTCAAATCAAATCAAATCTGATAACCATTTAGGACATTTTAGCCACTTATTAACGTCATGCTTTTTGTATCTATATGGTATAATAGTAATTTTGTTCTGTATTGTTACCTGTTCTATGTAAATATGCGCTGCCTTGAGGAGGTAATCTGTAAGGTCTGTGAACAGCTGGTGCTGGCGCAGATCCTGCTGACTCCTCACCCTGCTCCGCTCGCCCTGAACGCGACTCGCACAAGTCTTCCGATTCATCTTCACCATCCGGACAGTCCGCATAACCATCACATAACCAACGTTTCAGAATACAGCCTCCCGAACGACAGCTGAAATATATTTATTTAATAAAATTAGAATTCGATAATAACACTGCAATAGAAAAAAGAAATATCGTACTTCCTACATCCTACCAAGTCACTGCAAGGTAAAAATTGTATTGTTATAAAAATTAGCTTAAATTGTATGTATCTAGTGATTTACTTCTAGTTCTCCGATGTTAGAAATATCTAGGTATAAAATATCAAATTTAATGCGAAAGATTAGTTCTGTGCGGTAGATTAGTTCTGTGACAACGGTCGAATCCAGTATCAAGTGATACTTTTACAACGACTTCAACGGTTCAACGACCTCTGGTGCGACAGTCGAAATGTAGCCTAACTTGTAATGTAACCTGGTAAAGCATATTAGTTTTTTATCTTTTTTACTATAATTTTCAGTCCTATCATTTCCCTTCCATCTTTTCCATCAGTTTATAGCTCTCCAGATAAATCAATCATTTGTAACATTATATCATTTACCGGAATTCATTGGCGTCACACAATACACAAGTGGATTCGTCTTCTCCAGAAGGGCAGTCTGCAGTTCCATCACAGATCCAATCTCTTGGCACGCATGTACCATCTCCGCAGCTGAACTCACGAGGAAAGCAAGGGGTTTTTGCAGCTACGCAGTTGTTCGTTGAATACTGGTTGCAGTTAAATGCGGCTACCAAATCACCGGGGATTTGTCCATCACAATTGTCAACAATTGCTGAAAATTATGTAAATTTTACTTTTTAGGAAATATTAATTAACCCGTCGTGGGTTAAGAGTTCGTATGTTTTTTGAGACAAAAGATAGTTTTATATCTATCTTCACGTTATTTCATTAGTAAAAAGGTAAGAAATAGTTAGATAGACAGGACACACTTTCTCATTTACATTATAATATTAATCTGAATAGCTAGCAGCTTGTACTAGTAGCTATAGACAAACTGTATTTTATTATATTTGAGTAACTCATTGTGCACTTACTATATATTTGTGATATCTTTTTATTTAAAGAAATCTTAAGAGGTGACTTAAATGCCAGAGTTTCGAAAACCAAAAAGTTCGATGTCATAGTCAGTAAAAATCTTTATTACCAGAAACATATTCCAGTAGTACGATAATCGGCTGTTATGCTTATATTTGTTATGCTTATGCTTATATGTTATTCGCACTAACCTTTACAAAGATTGTAGCAAGGCATCTTTGCGGGATATGGTGGCGGGTTACACTCGGGCTCAAGTAAGGCACATGTGAATTGCCTCACACGGTCACTACAATTCGTAGCTACCAAATACTCAATCTGAGGTATCAGTGTCGATATATCCACTCCTTTAAAACTTAAAGCAGCTCCAGCTAAGTCGTAGGGCAGCACACCGCGACACAACGCCAGGCGAGTAGAACGACATTGTACTGAAAACAATGTCATTACTTTCAATTGAGTAGTTTATTGGAGATGTCTTCTTGCTGTTAAATAATGATTGGTTAATATTAAAATTGTAGCAAGGAACTGCTCATGACCAGCGATAGTGCGGCCACGATCACCGTCACGTTTAACACCTTATATGAGATCAGGGCTTCAAGCACAATTAATAAATATATAATTATTTTGTAATAATATTAACCAATCAATTATAATAACATAGCAGGTATCTAATGTATATAAATGTTATTGTAATTAATAAAATACAAATATAACATTTATTGAAGGCTGTGCGTAATTAAAGTGATACAAGTGCAACCGGTGTAAATCCTTTGATGAATGTAAGTGATTAGTTTAGACAACAAAAACTGACCTCAAAAACCGCATGCTTCCCGTGGAATAAATAACAATGATCTAGCTTACCATCGGCGTTGATATTTACTGGATACTTTTTTGTAGTAGCGTCGTCTTTATCTCGCCATGTTGGGAGTGTGGGTGAAACTCTGGTATTGTAAAGGGAGCTCTGTGTAGTGGATTTCATTTTTTCTGCATCTTCAATGGAGATACCAAAAAGTTTAGAATGACCTGATGTGAAATTGACGTCTAAATTTGTTGGTTGTCGGCTATAAAACTCTTGAACTTCTATCGGGATTTCAGGTTTTCTAGTATATTCTTGTTGAACATTTACTTGTTTTTCAACCTGTTCTGGTACGCTCACAATAATTGGTTCTTTATTAAAAGGCACGTAAGGTTTTACTGGTGATTCAATAGTCCTTGTAGAATATTTTTCTCCATAATTCGAGAAATCATTAATAGTCTCTGCTTTAAATATAGTTTCTGTGTTAGCGCTACTAACTGCAGTTCCTTCTTTAAAATAAATAGCCAAAGGTTTCTCAGGTTTCTGTGTAATATGGGGTTTAAGAGTAGAATCCTCTGGTAGTTTATTTGATTCTTCTAATAATTTAGACGTCCTTAGTTTCTCGGTGTCGGCCCTTTCATTGCCGTACTGTACCTCCGGTGTTATATGACTAGGAAATACTGGAGGAATAGGTAATTTCCTTGTCGGAACTGGCGTCGTGTTTGTATCTATATTAGGTGTTAAATCGCTATTATTATTTTCTGCATCGTAGAAATCGATTTCTGATGGTTTTGTACCTGTAATTATCGTGTTTAGACAAATTTCGTTAAGGGTGTATATATGAAGGTAAGTGCTGGTAAACAAAAAGTAAATATATTAATATTTTTACGAGATACATTATATTGAACTTTTGTAAGAGCTGCGAAACACACATAAAGTATTTTCTACGCGCTATCCATTACTAGGTTTGTGAGTACAAGTTTGTGAATAGGTGGTGCAAAACTAAACTATCTTATAACATATTTATTTAAAATTAACTGTACGTTGTTGATTTGAGAAGTTTCTAATTTTTATCAAAACTTTCTATTGACTTAAAATTCAAATATGGAAATTCGAAGATTAAGCACATTATAACTACAGTTCAATACGCTGTTTTATCTAAGTAGGTATGAGAAAGGGCTAGTCAAACGAAATTTTGAAAGTACAAACAAGAAAAATATTTTTAATCATCATACTAATATTTCAAATTTTAAATACAACATATAATCGATCTAATATAATCAAGATCGAGTAAATATCGAAATGAACATATGATAATTATTATTCCAAGAACTATTACAATGATTATTTTAACTATATCTGACGTTGACTTTACAGTCGTAGAGGTCATATTATTAGGATATGTACAAGTTTTGTTTTCAAGAATTATCGGAGAAGTGTACACTATTTATCCAAAGGAGATAAGGGTTGTATTTTACATATTCGGTGCAATGTACAAAGTACACAAATTGTTTAACAATTAAAAATACTTCACAATGTTATATAAATATCTATGTATTAGGAGTACATAAGTGTTCTTATGGATTCGTGTTATATGGAGACTACCATTTTTAACATTATAACTAATTTTGTCTATAATTAATTAATCAATGATCAGCATCTAATAAAATTTTGCACAAAGCCACTCAAAGGTTAAATATAAAATTGTGTCTTTCGTTTTGTCTTGCAAAACTACATTATAAAGCATTTTAGCACTAACAGACCAGAGTGACGATTAAAAAATCATAGGCTTGAGTAAAATTTTTGTGAATGCACTAGACAACATTACGATTAAAAACACATTTAGGTTAACCACAAAAGTAAAGTAAGAGGGGCATATTTTGTCCTCTCAGGGTACAATTACTAAGTTACAAGTATGTAGGTATACAACTGAATTCGTCAAGTTATATTTTACCTAGCACGGTCGAATTATCCTTCACAGTAAGAAAGTCCGCATAAGCATCTCGTAAAAAAATACTAAAGGTAATCACAAAACTACATATATACCGCGTGCAACACTCTGTGACTTGAATACGTGTTTGCTATAAAGTGCAAAAGGACAATAAAGATTATAGCCCTCCTTTGTATAAACCCAATAGGTTATCATTGATCACATTAGTTGAACATAGACATAATAGCTTACCTTTCGATAAGTGAATAAAAAATCTAGGATACTGTGGAGACCTTAACGCTGGCTCTATGGAATATAGCGCAATAATAGTGGGATAAGTCATATGGATGGATTCTATTAATATAAATACCATGCTTTCCTGCGTTTTCTTTCTTCTTCGGAGTATGAATTGGTTCTGGAGGTTTATGTTCAGATTTTACTGAATTACTTTCCTTTACCGCCTCTCCTACGACTGGTTCCCAGTAGGTCCCATTGATCGTGTTCACGTCTGAATCCATGGAATCTGTAAATTTATAATTATTTGATTACGTAAAATTAAAATAAGTGAATTGAAAACCCGAGGATGAGCGATTGAAAAACGATTCACTAAAGTTTCTTCTGCTTTGACAAAGATATTCTATAATACCGACATATGTAGGTATATCTGTACAAAAATACTGTGAAATTTATTGTTGTAGTTGTAAATTCTAGTTTGCTATGTTGATATACGTAGGGTTTTTCATGTAGATAGGTACAGGTTACTTTTCACCAATTTAGTCATCAGATCGTTTGCCATTCATGTCAAAAAATGCGAAAGTTATGTCATAAAAGCATGCAACAGATATGTTATAATATTTGCCTATGAAACACTTGTAGTCATTTCGAGCCTCTTGATTAAATTGTATAATAATGTCGTAACTCAGGAGTGAGTAGGTGTTTATTCTTCGTACACCTATTCTTGAAAGTGATAAGATGCATGATCAGTGAAAGCGGGGTTCAAGATGTCAAGCGTGCCCGCTTCTTTGCGGTCACCTCAATATAGAGGTCCATTAATCCTTTGTTATAGTATGTTAGGTACATCACAATAACATGTAGTTAGATAAGTAGGTACTTACCTATACATAATAGTGTCTAATGACAATATTTATGGCTAGCTGATACGCGCAACTTTAACTGCGTCATATTTTCCCCCATTTTTTGCAACATTTTTCATTGAAGCTCGGCTTCTATTAGTCCAAGCGTTATTTAGTCTATAAACGTCCTTGATAAACCTTTTGATAAAGTTTGTGAGGTCAATCAATCGAGATTGACCTCACAAACTTTACCCCTTCTTAATATTAGTATAGATTATACTATTGATTACTTCTTGTAATCAGTAGTATAATCTATATATAATCTATATATCTAAGGTACAAGAGTAATCTTTTAGAATATGTTATTATAAAAGATTAAATAATATTTGTTATTTTTATATTTCTATTATATATATTAGGTACCTATATCATCTACCTAATATATTATCTGTAACTGTGCATGGTCATAGTAAAATATCATCCTGTCTCATACAATATTGTTTGTATTAACAAAAAATAATAAATAATGAACTTATTTTACCGGTAATTTTGGGTTACCGATATTTCGAAATTATTGCAAACGCCATTATTACGGGTAAATTCAAACTTCCATACCGGTAATAGGCATAAGGTAAGTAATTGTAAATAATGCCACCGTCAAATTAAAAAAGTTATAGTTTAACATTATTAGCTGTTATTAACTAAATACAGTGAAAAGCAAGAATACGTAAACTAATATGTAAATTACTTATATTTGTGAAAATGTATGGCACAGTGCTTTGCCACAATGACATTATCACAAATCCAAATTATTTTGCATGTTACTATGATATTACTATAAATATAAATTGTTCTTGTCATAAGGCGCATAAGTGCTCATGACTCTACCTACTAGGTGCTATATTATTGTAGCGTAGCTATTCAATCTAACAAATTAGGAATGTGCGTGTTTAGATTGAGTCTTTTTACTTCAGTTTTTAATGGTTCCGGTTTATAGAAGCGGTTTGTGTGAAAACTTAAATAAAAAAATCATTAGAAATGTGAAATGTATCCAGTTATCCACACATAATATAAATAGATATGCATATCCCATATAGGTATATTGTAATAATTTTAGTGATACATTGGGATTACGTAGAAGACATTGTGTGAATTAAGTTATTATTATTATCAATATATATTGGCTATAGCTTATAACAACTTTATATACTTTCGTGGCGTTTTACTCTCGAATAACCTATTGAACACTGTTCAAAATTACATAGTTCACGAGTAAATTAAGCCCTAGTGCTGATTAGCTGTATATTTGTGCCAAATTACATTAAAAAAGTTTGTTTTCTAACACTAATTCCGATGTTTTTAACCCACTTCAAAAAAGGAGTAGGTTCTATATCCGAAACGTATGTACTTTTATCAATTTTTCCTTTGTTCTTTTCTTGTTTTCATTCCTCAATGTCGCCAGCTGCATGTATAAGATTCTGTTGTACAATTCCTTAGTAATGTTATTGAACGTGTGTTATTTAGTTAAAATTCTCTGACAGATATCCTGCTCGTACACTAATTAATGTTAATTGGTCGTTACATAATTTAAGTGCCTCGTTCAAATGCACCTATGTATCCTGCATACATGACAAGCAATTTAATAAACCGATATCGCCGCAAGACCCAATTAAATGGATTTCGCGTTATTAGTCATGCAATTTACAGATAAACGACTTCATGCAAGTATATATGTACCTATGTCTAGTTACTATGATACCACTTAAATGTTCTACAGTTATATTAGCTATATAATACGGTATGCCGATTAATCGCCTACTGCAGTTAGTATTGACATTTGCTTACTACGGTTATTATATTATATACTACACATTTTTAAGTTCTCAAAAAATAAGAGTTGCACTATATCAAATTGGACTCAGTTTGAAATGACACAAATGCTAATGTACGAAGATATCGCGTAAAATACATAAAAATATTTATTTATACTATTTTAATCGAATTCAAAACCTCGATTTTTGTAGTTGAAACAAGTAGATATAGGTACCCTGTCTTCCTACGTATGTATATATGTAAGACATATTCGAAAAAAAATCCGTACTTATTAATTTCGTAACAAATTATACATAATCTCCATTTGTTGAATCATATGAAAATATGAATTGAGATCAGATATTTATAGCAAGCTAAAAATAGTCATGAGAAAGTTTTGTGAGGTCATCAACCGTATATGTAGTACAAAAATGCACATAAGGTGCATAGTTGGCGTGAGTATACAAAGACACAATAGTGTGAGCAGGCCGGCCAACTTTCATTTTTTTACGAATTCTTTGCAAATAAAAAATACAACTTCAATCGACTAAAAGAGACATGAGGGCAATATTGCATCCGGTCACAATCAGATTTTCAGATCATATTGTCCGCGAAACCAAAATGCTCCACAAATGTATTACCACATACGATTCTGTATCGAGCTATAAAATATGATAATAAAAATCCCTTTGCGTGTAACATGTGAAAGTGGCTGAATATTTATGAAGATATCAAAAGTTTCGAGAAAGGATAATGTATGCATTAACAGATTTGCGCGCGTATTATTGTAATCGCTTTAAAGTATTTTATGACCTCCACAGGATTTCGTTTACAACATCAATTACTGAATATTAAGTGCTTGTAATTTACTTTATACACTTTCAATATGCAAATTTGGCCTAATTATGAATTATTTCTTATTATATTTGAAGACCTATCATTATTACATATTTAAGAATTAAATAACTAGGTGATCGTTACTGGTTAAACAAGATAATGGATGCATACAACTGTATTGAATGAGTTAATATGAGAAAAAAATAAATTTACATATCTATGTACTGTACCTACACTAAGTTTTTGTCAATGTTTCGGTTATACATAACTCGTTTACATACGATCTACAATCAAAACATTACCTACTACATTAACTGTTATATAATGATTAAATTAAATTTTTCTTACCTATTTTCTTAAAATTTCCTCTATTATAAATCACTATAAATCTATTTACATTATTGTGCAATTAATATCATTGACATAAAAAACCAGTTTTGAAGGTTCATAATGCCTGTTCTTTCTTTTTATGTTGGCTTTTAGCTGAATGACCCCATCACGAATTGCGGTTGTTAGTATATTAGTATTAGTCAGTATATAGATTATTTATGTTGTTTATATATAAATTTTTCTCTACATAATATTGTTATATTATTCATCATATCATCATTTAGCCTTTCTTTAATTATTTGGTGTCGTCGCAATATCACAGCCACATCTTCACTGATTCCTATTGACCGTCGTATAAGAGCTTACTCTCTAAATATTGTTATCGAAAATTTTGTTAAATTATTTTACAAAAAATATTATAAAAGTTTAATAAACAATTGATGAATGTGTACAAGTCTACAATAAAATATGACTTATTCTATAGGCTGATAAGAAACGATACAAATAAAATGAGTCTTGGGGATATATTATCAAGACGTTGCGTGTCTTGGTGTTGAGAGCCGATGAAATATACAAGCAGATGGTTACGTTTAAAGTTTCGATTTGTAATGTATTGCTTGTCAGCATTCATGTGTTCCACTTCACTTTTTATAGGTGTTACGTACAAGATTCACCTTTGACACCGCGCGTGCCATCGTCGGCTGCAGTGTTGCCAACAATGTTTGAGCAAGCCCAGTGAATGGAACTTTTAAAACTACCAAAGTAGCACTAATATTTGAGACTACGAGTATAATAATGAAAGCACAATAACAATCACTTAACCATAAAACACTAAAACATTTTTTCTTACAATAAAAAAGAGAACAAAAAGTATTAAAAAGTTAATAATATTTCTATATATATTTTAATGGCTAAATACATTATGTAAGTCACTTACGTAGTCACTAATATTTTCCAAAGAATAATTTATCCTGTTTTTTTTAATTCACAATATTTGTTGGATTGTCAATCCCATTAAAACGTACGAAACTTATTTCGCCCACCAAAACAAGGGTTAAATTTACGAATTTTAGTGGAACAACCACTAAAGTTGCAACACTAGTCGATTGGTCTTCCAACATAAACATCATCATATCATATCCCAACTACCATCTGTAACTACCTACCTCATCATCAGAGCATAAATAATATATTTTATACTATAATAATAAGAACTTTCGAAACGATCTGCTCAGACAGATCGTGTGAGTGAACTTTGACATAAGTAGCTCTCTGATGTTAACTTACACTTATGGATATGTATAATTGAAATATTAATTGGTTAGTTATTATGTATGATGCAACAGACCTATATAGACAGTAATTCCTTATCATTATCGTACTTATGTTACATATGATATCGTGTGCTAGAAAAAAGAAATAGTCTTTTTAAATCAGGCTGTCAATATAATATTTAATAACTAAGAGAAAATAATACAAAGTAAATGAAAATAAAACTAGACATTCATGATTTTCTATATTCAGGTAAAACTATAATAATAATTTTTTTTTCGAACCATTCTAATACGGCTTACCTCAGATAGTTTTTACGGCTCCACAAAATGGGATCGAGTACAGAGGATACTACAAACCCATGTATGAATTTATAAGACTATTAAAGACCAACACGTGCTTAGGTACAACTTAACCTTAGAAAACCCTAACCTACCTAAAAACTTGGCACTAGAACTATTTGACAATGAAGAAACAACAACAGAGAAAATGTGAAAACTTTGCTTCAAATGTAAGTAATCTAGTAGAGGTGTTAGAATTTATAAAATCAGTGTATAGTATTGTGTAATTTAAACAACATGCCATGTAATATATCAAAAATAAACGATTACAATCACTTTAAGAAAGGTAAAAAGAACTCGAATGACAATAGGTCGGAATTAGGAAAAGTGGTGAAAGGTATCAATAGAAAGGTAGAGAAGCTGTAAAAAATAACCCTCAATACTGATTGCTATGATAAGCATTACATAAACAAACACTTTTCACGGGTTTAAATATGACACGTTAGATATAAAGATTAGTCTTTTAACTAATAACAGCATTTCGGATATGCAATTGTACGTAAGTATAGTACTACTACTTATCATGTCAGATATACAGATATAATCTACTTAAGTATACATTACCAATGTCATTTCAATATCCACTTTTGTTATTATTAAGCTTGCATGAGAAATACTTGGGCAACCTAATGGAAGATAAGGTCACCAGACATATAAATTAGGTATTAAATTGAATGTTTAGTTCTAATAAAAACTTAGTATTTCGTTTTAAATTACACAATGGGTATGATGTGATTTATGTTCGATAGAGATCAAGTATTTTTATTTCGTCAGTTTAGAATCTTAATGCTTTGAATGCAATATAGTGAGAACAAAATTATCCCAAACTTATTCCCACGCATAAGTTTGCTATACCGAATACATGCAAAAATAATAAGAACAATTATTTACTAAATCAACCAACTTTAATTACAAAATTAACACAATTGGCTAATGTTATAATTTATTTTCATCTATATTCTATTAACTATAATAATTAATATGAAATTGTTCAGATAAAATATTTCGGATTTAAAATAAATAAGTATTTTATTTTTACCTATTAATTCTGTCTCTGTATAATTATTTTGCAAAGATAACAAAACAATTAATTAAAAGACCTAATGTCTTAATAGGTTATTAGATATTAGTACCGCTGGCACCTACCAATATTGTCATCGCACATGTTCTCGTTATCACGGCTAGTGCAATATAATATGCCTTATTTATATACACCATATTTTTTTTTGTGTCACGCCCGATTACTTGTATTCTTCACCAAAAGTGAAAAATGAAAATTAACAATTAAGTACTAGTCAAATATTACGGTTGGTTCCAATTAATTGCACGTTCAAAGTTTTCAAAATAAATATTTACATATTTCAGAGTATTTATTTAAAATACCAAACACTAATTATAATGTTGGAGACGATTTGTATCATTAACGAGCATATAGCCAAATAATACTTACCAGGCATAAGAAAGTAGACGAAGACAGCTAAAGCGACGCACACGACGATGAGGGCGACTGGCCATCTCAGCACACGGAAGGCGCGGTTCATTTTGCTTGCTCCCGTACCACTATCCACAGGTACTCTGTAGAGACTGTCGGGATGAGATCCCTGAAACAATAGACAATGCTTATTACAACCTATGAATCTCTGATATCATCTGAAAACGATAAATATATTCTTTAAACAAGATATAACTATAAGAAAAGTATACATAAAATACGAGTAGGTATGTTAATTAAAATACATAACAGTTATCAATGTAGGGACTGTCTTGTAGGGACTGGTCTGCTCTAATCACTATGACTGATTTCCTCTTATTAATTGTTTAACCAGTTGGTTATGTATTCAATATTTTTTTCTTTTTAAGTATTTAATTGAATTAGTGCTAATCGGTGGTTTGTATTCACACACTTAAACTTAAATTGTAAGTAAGAATAAATTATTTAAAAGAGCAACACACAAGTTTCTTGCTTGTTCTTCTTGTGATGAAACAGCATTCCGAATGAGCGGTAGATTAAAAAAAAAAAAATGTTATGACTATTCAAAAGTGCTTCAATGTAAGTTTATTTGAATAAATGATTTTCTATTCTATTCTATTCTATTCTAATGAAAATTGTCTCAGTTTATGAGAATATATATTCTTAGGATACTGCAGGAAAATAGTTAAAAATATACAGGCCGGCCTCAGCTATTATACTCATATAAATAAGAGGTCAGTGAGGTACGCTATATCTATCGTCGATTTGCTAAATAACAGATGCATAGGGAGGCGAAAAATATGTTAATTTTTATAATTAAAAAAAAATTTAAAGGTAGGATGTAAACAGACCAGTTTATTAATTTCTTACATTCTTTTAGTTCTTACCAGTATTATAGACGAGATCGTACTGTAAAAGAAAGCTATGAGCAGCCGGACCAGCCAGTTTGTTTCAATGAAATTCAATCTAATTAAAAGAAATGCAGAATATTTAATTTACAAGTACCTATTATACATTAATTATGAACATCGTAATATTACAATTACAAACAAGAAGTGGTTGAACGATTAGTCAGTATTTAACTACATCGTTAATAGCAACTAAATCGCAATATTACATAACGTAGCAATATTTTGTGTGTAACCGAATTCAGTCGTAAACCTTAATTTCACATTGTACTAAACCACTTCTCGGTATTCAATAAGTAGTCCCTATATCAATATATTATATTGTTAATTATGGTTTTATTTTGTTTATAGTATCTCTTACTGTAAGTAACAAGAATTTTAAAAATAAATCTGGATTAAATTTGTATTCTACCTAGTTACCTTGATTACTATAGCGTGAACCTATAATTATTTCTGACGAATACTCTTTCTTATGAAATCTAAAAGATATTTTATTAGAGTGGTCACCGCACTATTTTGCAACTTATTTAAATTACAATGTTTAAAGTAGACAGAGATTGTATCCAAACTCAATTTATATTACATCTATGTCTTTCGATATCAGGGTAATTATTTTCAAATTCAACATGAATGTAAATTCTGTCATGTCTTGTATTTAATTAACCCGAGGTGTGGACTATTTCAACAACGCGGAACATAACTGTAACTTAAATGTAACATGTATGGTTAATCAATCTATATGTCCTAGTTTCGCACTGGTCACATATTACTATCATAATTTCATTTATAAAGTACCCTGCAACCCAACCCTACAACATGCACCATTATTTACATGTATGTTTCTACATTTAGAACTAAACAACGTTTGGACCCATTATAATTGTAACTAAGGAATAATAGACTAAAGTTATGTGACACAATTTGTTTCGTGAGATATATCTCACAAAATAAATTGCGCCCATGTGCTGTTTGCATATACCTATTTATTTAATTGCTATTGAGTTAATACCTTTATGCAAGTTAATTGAATTGATACCTACAATAATAAGAAAGCACTTTATTTGAAATTAGTTATATAAAATGTTTAAATTTACCTATTAAATATTCACATAAAACGAAGACTACAAATCAACATAAATGTTAAATATTTATGATGTATGCATTTGATAAAAAATCTAATCCATTTTAGTGTTAATTGAGTTATTAATTTAATATAATTTTAATTGTATCAGTACCTATATATATACAGAATATTCATCGACTTTATTTTGATAAACACAGCCACAACAGTTTTTTATTAACTTTACAGTTTTTGTTTAAGTTATTTTAAATAATATAGAATAAGGTAATCAACTTACACTGTATCTTACCTTTGCAGCAAATTTCTTTACTTCTTTCGGCTTAGAGAAATATTTATCAAGTTTATTTTCATAGTTTGTAATGATTTCATTGGTTTCTTGGCTTGGTACTGAACGAACTCTGTATGTGCCGTATTGTTCACCATGTTCTGATATCGTCGGCAAATTGCCGTTAGGAGAACTGCAACTACTACTTGATCTTGAATATGCATAATTAATAGATCCATCCGCTGGATTTTTAGGTTTTTTTGTAAAAGCATACCGCCTGGGGCGTTCTTCTTTGGCTGGTTTCAGGTCATACGTTTCGAATTTTTCGGATACATAATTTTCTTCAACATCTGTAGTGGGAACGTAACGGAGTAGCTTCGGTTCTTTAATCCTCTTCTCATATTTAATTGAATCAGTCTCGTTATCTAATGGTTTGGCGTTTAGAGAAATATGGAGATCATTAGCATTCCTGTTGGGCTTACGCCTGGTTTTACGTTCAACAGTTCTTGAATGTACGTGATCATCTACGATCTCCGATTCAGAGACCGGTCTGTCACCATACAGCACATAATTTCCGTTGACCATTTTGTACAAATATGTACTAATATCGAAATAACGATTCAGCTACATTTGAACGTTTTCGTACGGGGCGAACGCGTCGCCACTGTGTTTAATCTATTCACTATCGTTTCATTTGAAATTATTAGTTTGGTAAGCAAAATTGCTTATGACAGTATATTTGCTGGCAGTGTTGTTGGTGTCTGATCTTGCTAGCAATGATCGCGACACTGCTTGAATGAACACTACAGTTACAAATGCAGTTTGTTTGTTTGTTGTTTTTAGTATTTGTGATTGTGAAAGAGAATTCGAGCAAATTCCTTAGCTGTAAAATGTATGGTTATTAAACAGAATGCTTACACATGTAGCGGACGGTCAATGTGTATTTACAGAGTTTCCTATTACTTTGTAAATAAACTAGATCGACATTGTAGAAAGGTTTTAAATAGTCAGTATTTCTACAAAGTATCAATAGATATCTATTTTTTATAGCATGGGAATAGAGGCGATGAAAGTCTTTGTTTCGTTTGGCGAGCGACTACCTTTAGTGGATCGAAATCGTCTGGATATGGGTGCAAAAATTTGAAAAGATGACAGCACATCTGTTGGATATAAAAACCTAGTTCGTTAGGTACCTACATAGATGTCTACATCTTATATTACTATCTACCTATTAAGAAACGGTATTAAAATAAGATCCTTATTCATACAATTATATGGATCTACGTTTTTCCGCTATAGATGTCGACTAATTTTAGTTTGCATTTTTTAGATAGAGCTTAAATGTCGATTTCGATTGTATTATTATATTAATAAGTTTGTGAATAAATAAGTAATGTCTACAAGTACCCGTTTTTATATTCGTTACGATTTTTTATAATCTGGGTTAACTGACATCATATCACGCTTATTATTCGTTCTACACACACAATGATCCTAATGCGAGAACAAATTTAGAAAAATGAATACAATATCATAAATAATAACTACATCACACGGTTTAACATTTATTGGATAGTTAGTAATAATTGTGAAACGTCCATCAGTTTGCGTTGAACGGCTAGAGTCTGAAACAAGCAATGAGAACATATCTACGCTATGTTGTAAACGCAACAGATAACATTCGGAGCGTTATGTCGGCCATTATTGTTTAGGTATATTTCCCGCGCTTTTTGCCTCGTTTACGCGGGAACGTTCCCAGTAAAGCGCGTGCGCGACAATGGCAGCAGTCAGCGGGACAAACGAGAGTGAATTGCGTTGGTTGTGCAACGATTCCACCGTTTTATGCAACTGATGTGCTGTTAATGTACCTACGAATCTTTAGACATTTATATTGTTTTTAATATTATAGAGAAGTTTCCAATTAATTTTCACCTACAGTTACGTTGTAATGAGGAGCGTTAGTGATCGTGGTTGTGGGAAATGGACCGAACGAAACTAATTTATACTAATTGACAAGAAATAAACTCCTTTTATAAATATTTAGTGTTTGTTTCATTTCAATCGGTTTACAAACATATTATAACCTATTCTTATTTCGAATACCACAAGTATCTACAAGATCGCAGAACTATTATACAATGCAGCTATTTAGATCAATGCTGTATTATATGATGCTACAATATAACGTGAAATAACTATATTGATCAAACAAGTCCATGAACTATGGGCTTTGAGTTTTCGTAATACATTACAACAATGCTTTTCTGTTTATTAACTCTATCATAAAGTTCGGCTAATCTGTTATTTTATCAATGGATCTATGACCCAAATCGAAGCTAATAATACGTTCATCTTGCACTTTCAATTTACTTTAAAGTTCACCTGCTTCTTTGTTTCGGCTGGTAAAGTCACAGCTGAATGGTGAGTTACTATACTATAATATTGTGATTTGGAAACTAGGTCTATTGGCTGGAAGTACCTACAACATACCTACCTACTTATTAATATAGAAATTATTTTCTATATTAATAATGATGATATATTATTTAGGTATAACAGACTCTCTTTTAATATAGCAAATTTCAAACATTATAAAAGGCAAAGCTAATAAAATATACATATTTATATTTATAAACTATCGAGTTCCCTTTCGTGCTCGTACGCCATGGTATTCAAAATAATAAAGGTTTATACTTTTTTTTTGTAATTTAAACATTATAAATAATATAAAAATATAATTTTGTTTAATAACCAATATAAAATGGACCATATTGGAAACGGAAGTTAAAGGTTGCTGGATTCTATACCCGCATGCAATTTGAGGATATTGTATAATAGTAATTAACAGCAAGATTAATTTTCCAGTTTATGAATAGGCAAAGTACGCAATCAAAGTAATGATTTCATATCAATTAATGGCTGTTTCTTTGTGCACAAGCACATATTTATTATCTTTTTAGCCTTGTTATAAATAAAATCAATAATCAACTCATTGATTGGTTCATTAACCCACATAATACATTAAAGTTTATTTAACTCTTTTGTAAATACTACCTTTATTAACCTAAGAACTAAATGACAATTTACAATCAAGATGTTTTCTTAGTCTTTCTGTATCTTGATATCAACGAATACCTATATTTAGGCTACCGCTTCTAATATCCATAAAATAGCAGTTTAATTATCTGAATCTATATATTTGAAAAATAGTGCATAGTTTTGACATACCCTAATCTAGACGTTTAACATCTGAGACACGTATTGAATGTTTGTTTTTAAACTACCTTAACCTAAATCGATTAATATCTTTTTAACACCTATTGTAGACAATATTAAAGCAGTTAGATGCAGTAAAATCGTGCGTACGTATATTAATCAGTGAGAACAATTGAGAATGTCATGCTAATATTATGTAAATGGGTTATTCTGCATTTATGTGAATGAAAAAAAATATATTTCTAAGGAAGTTTTATGTGCACATAATTCATTACGGTTTTGTGTACACGAATTAAATTATACGTGCGAAGCAGGGCCGTGTCGCTTATATTATATATGCCAGTCGTAGAATGTATGTTATATTTAACGGACTAATGGATAGAGCTATAGGCGTCAAGCAGTCCATAATACGTAGCGGTATCCATACAGTAACATCGTCACATGTGAGCGAGCACCACGGCCGCATCCAAGGCATAATCGAACAATAATTATGACTGTTTTAAATGTGTCATATTATGCTCTTTTGTTCTGCTTTACTTTATATCTAATGACATTGTTGATCACGATGGTATGGTGAATAAAGACATCGCTATACATAACGTGGGGTTACATCTTAGTTGATTAGTATGCCTGTTTATATTTGTGTTATAAAAAGTATTTAAGTACGTCTGTCGTTTGTCTAGGATCCATAGAAATTAATTCCGGTCATCTACACCCCTGTGGTAGAGACCTCGGGGCGAGCCTCTCTCTACCCCGGCTTCTTCACCGGGGGCAACAACCTCCGGGTCACTAAATTTAAGGAGGGTTGTTGTTAGTAACGGCTGGTCTCGCTCTTATTACCCATATTATACAAGCTATGCATAGTTTGGACGTAGAGTTGTCAAGGGTTATTTATTATTATTGATCAATACTTAATCAGTAGTAGAATATTACAAAATATCGTCAGCATTTTAAATTTCGTTGAGTGACCACAAAACAAAGCCTTGTAAAGTGTAGTTACGTGTAATCATTAGCGCAATGCTTCGTGGGAAAATGTTAATAATGCAAGTAATTATAAAAAATAGGCCAAAATATCAGACATACAGATTAGATACAAATTTTAAAGATAAGGATTTTTCGGTGCTTATTATTACTATAACCCTCCTTTCATAAAAACGTCAAACGTCCATAAGTATAGGTGTCTAAACTAATAGATAGTGTTTGGTTTTCTTTCCAGTTATTTTATTCAAATAAAGGGACACCATACTTTAAAGTTGTAATATATATTATAGGTGATAGTGTTTAGTTGTGTTCTTCATTTTGAATAATATGCGCATTATATTAATTTGATAAAAAATAATCTATAACAAAACTATATTTACATTACATTAAATCAATTACTACATCTATCGATATAATTTAGATAGATAGATAGATGGAGTACCTACTCACATAATGAGAGGTTGTCGTAAGCGCTATTTGCGTATCCACTGATTGTTATTCAGCGACTTATTGGAGCATTGAACTGCGACATATTAGATGTTACCAATCAGAATGCTTAGTAATTAGTTCGTAATTTTAATGGTTGAAGAGAAATCTAATTACGGCCGCTGACCCCAGAAACTGTTATGTCGTTAAGTACCTACTTAATCGCATTTATATACTGTTGTGTAATAAGTGTAACATGCATACGCTGTAAATATTTTAGAGAAAAATACATAAATAATACGGATACATTATCTTTAAATTTATTCATATTAAAAAAAACCTAATTGTGTCCAATATAAAACTATATACATGGTTTAACTTACCTGATGATGAGTCGTAGTAAATGATAATGAAGTAGAAATGAGAATGCAGAAGTTAGTTCATGCATTAAAATTCCTGATGTATGCGTCCGGCCAATTAGCAAATTAAAAAGAGGGTGTTTTTACATTTTATTATTATTTAAATATAATTACTAAAATTCCTACTTATTTATAATAGAGATGTGAACATAATAATAATGCAGATCACTTATTAACTGAGTAATATAAGCTAGGTATCTGCATGAATGCATATTATTCAAAAAGAAAAATAGTAAGTATCTACTAAATATATACATATCTGTATATTAACAACATTTTGTTGTATTTATAAGTACATACTTCATTTTCATCATTTGTTTAGTTAAAATAATGTCAAATATAAAATGTTTATAAACTTGGTGGTTACTTTTCTGTCTCTTTAGTATTGACGTCCGCCCGCCTACGACCGCCCGCCGAATTTCAGTAAGCGACTTTTCACAATAAATCTCCATTTAGGTAACCACCACATGTAGTTATAACTGTAATATAATGTAGATACGCATTAGAAATGTAAACAGCTATACATAGTGATGATAATTGTAA